GGTCATTTATATTACGGGTATTGAATGACATACAATTTTAAGTGTTGTAAATATTGTTTATTTTGTATAAATTTCTTACATTTCTAAGATACAGTTACTATCTACTTATACAGATAAAATGAGATCATTACACTTGAAAATTACAAAATAACATTCTTAAATCCTTGAATTATTTTTAATACATTAGCAAAATCAAAATCAAACATATTTATTCAGTTTAGACCACAAGTGGCACTTATGAATGTCAAAATATAGTAAATAATAAAAAAAGAAATCCAACTTTTGTTTCCCGTTTAAAAGAAACACTAATCTACGTTATTACAATTTAATACAAACAAATATTGCACTAAGTAGCAACGATCCAGGTAATTGGTTATTATAAATATTATAATACTATAATAGTTATCTACTTTTATTTCAAATTCAATTTTTTTTATTGCACATTAAGTGTGTTTTCACAAGGTGTTAAATCTATAACAATTGAACTTAAAACTAAATAATACTTAAATAATTAGCAATGTATAAGTTTGTAAATATAAAAATTATGGTTACGTGATTCGCATTGATTAACAATACCAACGAAATACCTACCTATAAAGAAAACTTAACAATATTTATGTTTATAACAATATTAAAAGAAACACTAATCTACGTTATTACAATTTAATACAAACAAATATTGCACTAAGTAGCAACGATCCAGGTAATTGGTTATTATTATAAATATTATAATACTAAGTTACTTTTATTTCAAATTCAATTTTTTTATTGCACATTAAGTGTGTTTACACAAGGTGTTAAATCTATAACAATTTAACTTAAAACTAAATAATACTTAAATAATTAGCAATGTATTTATTTATTTATACTTCAATTCCAAAAATATTAACATTAGGCGAACTTAATGCCATAAGGCATTCTCATCCAGTTTACCTTTGGGTTATGCAGAAAAATTATGTATAAGTTTGTGAATTATGGTTACGTGATTCGCATTGATTATGGTATTAACCAACGAAATACCTACCTATAAAGAAAAGAATAAGTAAACTTAACAATATTTATGTTTATAACAATAGTGTAAATAGATATTAAAATTACAAAATCACATCAGACATATAAATTACTTGAGTTTCTCTACATTTTATTTGATGATTATTGATTAATATTTAGTTGATGCCCCATTGGCAGCTATAACAGCATCACATCGTGAACGCATCGAGCGCACAAGGACTTCGCACAAGTCTGAGCCACGCACAGAATCCCAAACGCGGTCGCAGTGCGCTATTAAATTTTCTCGGGACCTTTCATTTAAAGTATCCCACCGCTGGACCATCAATCCCCAGAGATTTTCTATTGGATTAAGATCTGGGGATCGTGACGGCCAACGAATTGTGCGAATGTCAGGCTGTGCCTGGAGCCATCCCTGCACCACACGTGCGGTGTGGATTGGGCAATTATCCTGTAAAAATATAAATTCTGGCACTTCGGTCTCCGGATACACCATTCGCACAGTAGGGACCATCGTCTCCTGGAGGAGCTCGAGGTAAGACTGCCCAGTGGCTCTGCCAGATATTTCTACGAGCTCCCCGGGTCCAGCGGCACTCATCCATCCCCACATGTTGACGCATATTCTGCCCGAGTTATTGTTGGGATTCACATTACGTGGCTCATATCGAGTGTTGTCAACACGCCATAAATGCCGACGTCCTATTTGGTTTGATTTGAAACATTTTTCGTCGGCAAATATGGCGTGCGAGAAATCAAAGTCCCTGTATTCTCGCGCGAATCGGACTCTCGCAGCTTTATTTTCTTCGGTTAGAACTATTTTCTTCGCCGGTTTCCTGTGGTGCACCCCAGCTCGATGCAGGGCCCTCCTCACGGTTTTTAAGGAGCATTCAAATTGTTCTGCAAATACCCTTGTTGGTGTGAATGGCTCGGTTGCATACGTGTTCACCATTTGTGAACTTTGTTGTTGGGATATTAGAAACGGCCGTGGCCGCCGTGGTCGATCAGCAAGCTGTCCTTCTTCTTCATGGCGGCGAATCCATAGACGAACAGTGTTTCGCTGCGAAATAAAAATAAACGTTTAATCAATACCTGCCCTTACACAAACTATGCAAAGGTGACATAGGTATTTAACTAAAAACATTGCTGTCATAAAATCGTAGGGATTTTTATTAGTATTAATAAGATCATAACGATGTTGCCTTTAATTATTTAGTCTTTTTTAAACTTAATAGTATAATTCATAATTTTCAAGTCAAAAATCACAGCCGGTTCTGTGCAAATAAATTCCATAACATTGCTCTAATATATATAAAAAAAAAACAAAACAACGAAAGTAAAAAGTCGGTAGGCAAACAATGTTACAAAAATTATATTTCCAAAGCACTAAAGCTTCCAAAATACTATTAATATCATTAGCAGAGTAAATACAAAATGAGTATGTTATATTCATAGAACCGCACCGAGCGCGGTTTGTATGTGAGCGCGCCAATACGTATGCGGCGCGCACGCTGACAAAATTCGGCGCAACCACGACTAACTGGCTCCCCGATAATCCACGTTAAATTTGCGCTCACATACAAACCGCGCTCGGTGCGATTCTATGAAGATAGCCTACTCATTTGTATTTACTCTGTCATTAGTATTATTAGAAATTATTAATTGCAACAATTAATGCTACAATGTTTTTACTAGTAAGGGAAATAAATAAAAGTTTAAACGTTAACAATATGGCTACAGTTTAAAACGTGTGATTGTCTATTTTCAATCGTTCGTTCGTTTCAGCCAAATGACGTCCACTGCTGGACAAAGGCCTCCCCCAAGGTTTTCCACAATGAACGGTCCTGCGCTGCCCGCATCCAGGCTCTTCCCGCGACCTTTACCAGATCGTCGGTCCACCTAGTAGAAGGCCTGCCCACGCTACGTTTTCCAGCCCGTGGTCGCCACTCGAGAACTTTCCTGCCCCAACGGCCATCGTCTCTACGAGCTATGTGCCACTTGATTTTAGCAATTCTGCGAGCTATGTCGGTTACTTTGGTTCTCCTACGGATCTCCTCATTTTCTGTATTCTATTCTATTTTCAATACATCTGAATAATTACTTTTGCAGTTTGAATACTTCACGCTCATAGCCAGCATCATCATGATTAAATGAGTTATTTTGTAACTAGCAGTAAGTTATCACTTAAAAAGTTAAAATAGTGTTTAGTATAATATAAAACAACTTACCGAAAATCCCAGTTCTCGTGAAATTTCAGAAATATTCCTGCCAAGTTCATGAAGAGCAACGATTCTTGCTCTTTCTTCAATAGAAATGTTTTGAGAGGCCATGGTCCAGTAATCGCGCGGAGGTCAATAAAAAGGCAATCAAACAGTCCAATTACTAGCACGGGTCAACACAAAACAAAATCAATCGGTCCAGTAAGAAAGCACAGGTCGTAGGGATCACAAAACTTCACAAAAAAACAAAGGAGAGATGTCGACAGTTCGCCAAAGCAAAAAGCAGACTGACCTCGTATAAAAAATATACTAATATTTAAAAAAAATATCTATTTGTTTGTAACCAAATTCTATTATTCTATTATTTGAAGAAAAAAACATTTAGTTTTAAACCTTAACTGTATGACGATAAAGTGCACAATGGCATGTGGCAACTCTTAGACTTATTCCGTATTGCAACCTAAGCTCCGATTGTCTCCTATTGGTCGTAGTAAAAAATATAGTAAAATGCGTAACCAATTAGAGACGGGGTGAGCACGTGACCGGAGCGATGCGCTTACGCAAAATTTTCTACAAAGTGGTCAGGCGGAAGAGTCCCCGATAGTATGATGATAATTTTGTTGCTATCCGATTTTGAAATAAATTTAATATTAATAATGTTTTAAAATAAAAACTATTTATCATTGCTGGCCAGTAATTTCAGCAAGCCCACGCTTTTATTTATGAGAAAATTAACCTTCAATTCTTTGTGATACCGTCTTTTGTTTTGTTCGGAGTGGTGTTGAAAATTATCGGTATAAGTGCGGACTTTTGTTTCTTCTGTTTAATTAACAAAAAGTAATTTATTGTTTATGTGCTTGAGTTGTTATATTACAAACGCTCAACATATTTATCTTTAACATTTATTTTTGGTAAGAAAAATAAATTATATTAGTTACGTAAAAAAGATATTATGAGGCCAAGCTGTTATAAACCTTGCAGGTAAATAGACACTATAAGGTTTTCATTTCTTACAAAATGGTTAATAAACTTAATAATCTTTTAACTATCATCTATTTCAACTAAAAAACAGAAATACGGGTCTCAACGCGAAATTTTTATATGAGTTAGGTACATGTTACGGTTTGACGTTTCGGCTGTTATCAAAAACGTCAAACCGTGAGTGTATTATGTAACTCGTATAAAAAACGTCGCGTTGAGCCCCGTGTTTTTCTATTTTAGTAGAAACTAGCTGACCCGGCGAACTTTGTTCCGCCTTAATGGCAATAAATAAGCAGACTTTTTTTTTTAATTTCGAACGGGATAAAAAGTATCCTATGTCCTTCTCCTGGCTCTAAACTACCTCCCTAACAATTTTCAGCTAAATCGGTTCAGCCGTTCTTGAGTTATAAGTGGAGTAACTAACACGACTTTCTTTTATACAGGGTGTTAGGTAAATGGGTATATGAGCCGACACTAGCCCATGTTAACATGGTCATATAAATGGTATGGTAAAGTCAGAAAATTGATATCTTCATTTTAATTATTTTAATTTTCATACAAATCGCATTTTATAAAATTTATTTTGTATGAAAATTTAAAAAAAATAAAATGATGATATCAAATTTCTGACTTCACCATACCATTTATATGACAATGTTAACATGGGCTAGTGTCGGCTCATATACCCATTTACCTAACACCCTGTATATAGATGGAACGTGAAAGTTTCAAATCAAAAATCTATTTTTCCACCACCATCCGTGTATCACATTTTGTATAAATCTTTTTCCCCAGGATGACATCGAAGACCTTCTCCCAGGGGTGGTGTACCACACGCAGCCCCTCATCCAGCCATACCCTCCGCCCCAGGCCAAAGCGGAGAGGCTCATAGGAGAGCCCGACGTACCGGTTGAGGCCACGTAAGTACTGTGTATATGCAGTGTACTGTAGATAGGGTGGAGGCAAACTGTCTAGATATTAAGAAACAGTCCCAGCAGAGTAAATACAAATGAGTAGGTCATCTTCATAGAAACGCACCGAACGCGGTTTGTATGTGAGCGCTCCAACACGTATGCGGCGCGCACGCACACACTGACAAAATTTAGCGGTGGTTAGCGGTGAGATGCGCCGAATTTTGTCAGTGTGTGCGTCCGCGCCGCATACGTATTGGCGCGCTCACATACAAACCGCGCTCGGTGCGTTTCTATGAAGATGACCTACTCATTTGTATTTACTCTGGTATTACCCTTAGTAAGTTTCTAAGGCCCCTCGCCCACGGCGACTTTTTGTAGCGATGGAGTAGCGATCTGTCGCGCGTTCGCATCGATACAGTCGCAATGCGGTCGCTAGCTGTGTGCCCTCGCCCACATAAACGCGTTTCTGTCGCGATGCAAATGCAATACAGTCGCGCTACTGTTGCGATGCAAACGCGATTCAGTAACCCTCCCTCCGTTCTCTCCCCGATGTCGTCCGACACGGTCGCGCGTTTGCATCGATACAGTCGCGCTGCTGTTGCGCGTTAGTAGCGCGTTGGCATCGCTTCTGTAGTGCGTTGCAAATGCGACTAAAGCGCGTTAGTAGCGATTCTGTAGCTCGTTTACGAAACGCGCGACAGCATCACTACAAAGTCGCCGTTGGCGAGGGCCCTAAATGATTTAACAAGTACATTCAATCTGGGTAACTTAGGATGGGTTGCACCATCTTACTTTAACTTTAACAAACGTCAAAAGTCTGACCAACTCCATACAAAATACACCGGTTATAGTCATAGTCATAGAATAAGATGGTGCAACTCAGCCAAATGTTCAGTATAATTGTCCCAATCCCAACATAATAAAAGTAAATTGAACGAGATATTGACTGACTGACTTTGTACCTTTACTTAGTACCTATCCTATTTTAACAGAATGTACATAATTCCAGGTAAGCTAAGTGTAATATTAATATTTAGGAATTTGTTCCATAGTGAAAATTTTAAAAAGTATTTCTGGCATTATACTCGTAATATTTCTTTGAAGTGAGTTTTTATACCTGTAACATAACTAAACGTACCTTATTATATTAATTATACTTACCTACATCAGCTAAAAGTTAATGAGAAACATCACAAATTAAAAACAAGTGACAAGGCTTTCCTTTATATAAAAAAATATTTTCCAAGTGATCCTGTTTAATTATTAAATTCAAGGAAGCAGGTATTTAAAAGCTCACTAATTTAAAATGTAGGTAATTATAAAATGTTCAACTTCAAAACAGAAATAAACGAACCAAATTATAAAATTGCTCGTACAATGTCGTATTCTAAGAACAAACTAATTTATCCCTGTGAACTTCAATATTATTTTACGATGTTGCCTCCACCCATTTAAACTGTAGTTGACCGTAGTTGTGAACGTTAATTTGTGTTCCATTGTTTACCGACCACTTTACTTCAAATTACTAACAAATACTTCAATTATTGTTATATTTAAGTTTGTTTTAAACTGCCTCAGGCCGACCGTTGCTTTGAGCAGGCCACCGAATAAGTTTTTGTGATGTTCAATTTGTTTCTTCAACGTTCTTTTTATTCATTCAGGAATTTAAACAAATGAATATCAGTTTTCCCGATCGTCTCATGTTTGTTAAATTAGCATGATTTTTAATCTCGAATAATTTATTTTGTCTACAACTTATACAATTTGCCCTTTCCAGCATAAAGTATTTTTTCCTGTACTTACTATAATATTTGGAATTAACTTAGTCTCGATATTCGTTAACCCTTTAGTAATTTGACAGATACAAAATCTCGAATGTCAAAATTTGTTTCGTTAATGGCTGCCGATAATGTAGGTAATGTATCTAATGTAAAAGCATTATTATTGTAACGACGAACTTAATAGACACAAATTTTATGTTACTGCATGTGAAAATATAAGTCTTAATAAGAAATTCGAGTATAATATAAAATAACGATTCATGTGGTTAATAGTTGAATTTCAGCAGCCAAAAATAATTTACTTTTACCATAAATGTTATAAATGGCACACATTTAATGCAGTATTATGGGTAGAAGCCAAATAAGAGCATTACTGTAGACTATTCGAATAATAACCATATTTATTCCAAATTTCGAAANCCCAACTGAAACTGGGTAGGGCGTAACATGGACATTCGACATAACCTTTTACACACAAAGTTTTAAATAATCATCATCAAATTCAAATTCAAATTCATCATCATCATAATCATCATCATCATCATCATCATCATCATCAGGTCATTTACCCCACCGCAGGAGCATGGACCTCTCTAATTTACTAAGGCTGAGTTGCACCACCTAACTTTGACCGTAACTTTAACGATAGCCAGTGTTTTTGTATAGAGTTTGACAGATTTTTGACGTTTGTCTATGTTAGAGTAAGGTGGTGCAACCCAGCCTAAAAGTAGGTAGGTAAATGGAGGAGTTGGTCTTACTTGGAAGTTTTATGTAATTATGTATTTTTCACCCCAGTGTTCAGTATCCTGCGGCGAGGGTGTCCAAGTTCGGGGTGTGGAGTGCACTCCAGCCGGTGGTGGCTGCGACCCCGCCAACAGGCCTGAGATATCCCGCCCCTGCTCCACTGGCATCAGCTGTCCATCTTACAGGATAGAATCAGATGCTCCAGAGGTAAGTCTTGATCCTGGTTTGACCTGCCCTGTAAGATGGGAATTACTTCTTCGTCCCAGGTATTATCATTAGAAAGCTCCATTCTACAGATTTTATCCTGATAAAATCTGAGCACCGGAGATAAGTGCTAGGTCTACGCAATTTCCTGAAGATTTCCTCCAGAAGTAAGTCATGATCCTGACTTGATCAAGACTGATTCCGTGATTCAAGCTATCCCCGTCAGCAACACCATGACTGCGGAAGGCGTCTTGAATAGCTGTCCAATTCCATCCAGAAGGATAATGTCAGATGTTCCAGAGGTAATTCGCTGACATAGCCCGATGGATTAGCAAGCTGGGCGGGGCACAATGCACGCAGAACTGACGGCCGATGGGGCAGCAAGGTTTTGAAGTGGAAGCCACGTAATGGCAAGCGCGCCTGCTGTAGGACAGACTCAGACACTGGAGATAGGTTCGTTTGTTCGTTTCAGCCAAATGATGTCCACTGCTGGGCAAAGGCCTCAAAGATTTCCACAACGATCTGTCCTACGCTACCCGCATCCAGGTACTTCCCACGGCCTTCACCCGATCATCGGTCCACTATGAAATATCGGAATATATGGGTATAAGTATTGACGATGAAAAACCCAACATTAAAATACTGTTATTGATTAATATTATTATTATATTCCAATTTTACAGCAGTTTTCCAGCGAAATAATTCAGGATTCGCTTTAAATTGACAATTTAATACAATGTTTTATTCATTTTGAAACAAAAGCCGCATTTAAGGGCTTACTTAATTTTAAAACATGATATTAATGAAAGGTAGTTAATTTTGTTGCTATCCGATTTCTTTTATTTTGGAGCATTTTTTTTAAAACTTCAAATAAATTGAATAATAATAATGTTTTAAAATAAAAACTCTTTATCATTGTTGCTGGCCAGTAATTTCAGCAAGCCCACGTTTTTATTTATGAGAAAATTAACCTTCTATTCTTTGTGATACCGTCTTTTGTTTTGTTTGCAGTGGTGTTGAAAATTATTGGTATACTGTGAAAACTATTGTTTTTCTTTTTGACTAACAAAAAAAATTGTGTTTTGTATTCTTCTGTAGGCTGTTTGGTAGGAAAAATAAACATTTAGGTTTATAAAATGTTGAAATAAATCAAAGTCTCAACGCTATTTTTTATTGGAGTCACATTAGTTTAAAAAATGTTTGTCTGATCATTAAGCACTTATGTACATGCAATTTAACAATTCAAATAGGTTTTCCTTTGTTATAATAACTTCATACATACCTTCTTCATCTTTACATAGTGCTGGTCAGTAAATGACAAACTCTCACCTGCTTTTCCACCACCAGCGGTGTTTTCTGTGTATTTAGGGCACAATGTACCGTCGACTATACATTTTTCAAAATAGCCTGTATTAGGTACCTACATCCGAATAAGATGCTATATCGTTTAACTTTACGTGCCGTCGTCCGTACATATTTTAAAAACTCTTTTTCCCCAGGATGACATCGAAGACCTTCTCCCAGGGGTGGTGTACCACACGCAGCCCCTCATCCAGCCCTACCCTCCCCCCCAGGCCAAAGCGGAGAGGCTCATAGGAGAGCCCGACGTACCGGTTGAGGCCACGTAAGTACTGTGATGAACGTCTTTTGTAGATAGGGTGGAGGCAAACTGTCTTGTTATTAACAAACAGCTGGTTTTAGTGTCACGCGGACCGTCCGGTGCGGACCCGCTCCGCACGCCAATCTGTATGAACTTCTAGGGAGCGTTTTAGAGTAATGCGGTCCGGAGGAACCGCTCCGCTCCCTAGCAGTTCATACAGATCGGCTGTGCGGAGCGATCCGCACTGACAGTCCGCGTGACACTAAAACCAGCCTTAGTTAGTAAGTTTCTAAGGCCCCTCGCCCACGGCGACTTTTTGTAGCGATGCAGTAGCGATTCTGTAGCGCGTTCGCATCGTTACAGTCGCAATGCGGTCGCTAGCTGTGTGCCCTCGCCCACATAAACGCGCTTCTGTTGCGATGCAAACGCAATACAGTCGCGCTACTGTTGCGATGCAAACGCGATTCAATAACCCTCCCTCCGTTCTCTCCCCGATGTCGTCCGACACGGCTTCGCGTTTGCATCGATACAGTCGCGCCGCTGTTGCGCGTTAGTAGCGCGTTGGCATCGCTTCTGTAGTGCGTTGCAAATGCGACTAACGCGCGTTAGTAGCGATGCTGTCGCTCGTTTACGAAACGCGCGACAGCATCACTACAAAAAGTCGCCGTTGGCGAGGGCCCTAAATGATTTAACAAGCACAGTCAATCTGGGTAACTTAGGATGGGTTGCATCATCTTAATTTAACTTTAACAAACGTCAAAAGTCTGTCAAACTCCATACAAAATACACCGGTTATGGTCATAGTCATAAAATGAGATGGTGCAACTTAACCAAATCTTCAGTATAACAATGGTCCAACATAATAATATAATTGCACGAGAGATTGACTGACTGACTGTACCTTTACTTAGCACCTATCCTATTTTAACAGAATGTACACTAATATTCATAATCTCTTCAGGTAAGCTAAATGTATATTAAGAAATTTGTTCCCTAGTGAAAAATAAAACAAATATTTCGGGTATTATAATATTTCGGGCATTATAATACTTGTTTGAAGTGAGTTTTTATACCTGTAAAAACTAAACGCACCTAATTATAAGGTTACTAATTACCTACATCAGTTAAAAATTAATGAGAAACTTCACAAAGTACAAGTGACAAGGCTTTTCTTTATATAAAAATCATTTTCCAAGTGATCCTGTTTAATTATTAAATTCAAGGAAGCAGGTATTTAAAAGCTTACTAATTTAAAATGTAATTATAAAAGTTTCAACTTCAAAACAGAAATAAACGAACCAAATTATAAAATTGCTCGTACAATGTCGTATTCTAAGAACAAACTAATTTATCCCTGTGAACTTAAATATTATTTTACGATGTTGCCTCCACCCATTTAAACTGTAGTTGACCGTAGTTGTGAACGTTAATTTGTGTTCCATTGTTTACCGACCACTTTACTTCAAATTACCAACAAATACTTCAATTATTGTTATATTTAAGTTTGTTTAAACTGCCTCAGGCCGACCGTTGCTTTGAGCAGGCCTCCGAATAAGTTTCTGTGATGTTCAATTGTTTCTTCAACGTTCTTTTTATTCATTCAGGAATTTAAACAAATGAATATCAGTTTTCCCGATCGTTTCATGTTTGTTAAATTAGCATGATTTTTAATCTTCAATAATTAATTTTGTCTACAACTTATACAATACGCCCTTTCCTGAATGAAGTATTTTTTTCCTATACTTACTAAAATATTTGGAATAAACTTAGGCTCGATATTCGTTAATAAGTAATGTCGTATCCACATGTAAAGGCATAAATATTGTAACGACATACTTAATCGACACTGATTTTACGTTATTGCATGTGAAAATATAAGTTGTAATAAGAAATTCGAGTATAATATAAAATAACGATTCATGTGGTTAATAGTTGAAATTCAGCAGCCAAAAATTTACTTTACTACTATAAATCGTATAAATGGCACACATTTAATGCAGTGTTATGGGTAGAAGCCAAATAAGAGCATTACTGTAGACTATTCGAATAATAACCATAATTTATTCCAAAATTCGAATATGCAGTTGCATAATATAGATGACCTAAACTGAACTGTCCCACCAAACTCATTGACAGGGGGACGCCACCATCGTTTAAAATTATTATAGTTTCCAACATCGCAAAAATCGGAACCAGCGATCCGGTATTGACGGTGGCGCCCCGCTGTCAATGTCACGGATAGGACAGTTCAGTATATTAGAACTATACTCCTCAACGCAGCGAACGGCCTTTCTTTCCGTCTGTCAAGGGCTCAGAGTATTTTGTTGTTGTCTCTTTCAGCAATTTCAAAATATTCTTTGCGTGTGGCTGGTTGTATGTAAGGTATTGTACCTTCTAAGATCAAGGTTTCACTTTTGAATTCTGAAACATCACACATTTTATTACAAGGAATGACATTACCCCGACCCATCTGACACGTATCGCCGCTAGCTATTTTGTTTGTTAGCTTATTTTATAGATAGTTCAAAATCGTCCTCAAAACCCACTTCAGATTCTTCCCCCATGATTTTAAGGACGATTCTTGAACGAACCCCCTCAACCCCAACTTTTATAGAAGTCGTAAAGTTAGATTCCGAAACCTGAGTGAACGTGACTAAGAATGTAACCCCTGAGATGTCTTAGAATTTAGCTGAGTGTTGTTTTTGTGGATATGGACACACTTACAATACAACGACCGTAGTAAAAGATATACTACCCCCACCGACTTTGAAATATGCACAGGAACCCTAACTGTCACTTAAATCAATCCCCACACTCTCACTCACACCATTTCTTTCATCAATACGATTTTCTACTCTATGCACTGCACAATAAAGTTTTAACTTCTCTGCACATTACTACACTGTAACTTGTCTTGCATCGTTTTGTTTTGCTTTGAAAGTTTCCCTATACTAAACATTTCTGGCACCAACACTGACACTGCTACATTTTTTCCAAAATATTCGCAAACTCCAATCGGACTACGCTTTTATTATTACTCTGATAAAGTTGACTTTTGTACACAGGTTTACAGGTGAATTGGCGGTAGATACATACATATAAACACTGGTGCACATACTTCTACATAAACCAGCCAGATTTTCGATAATTAGGATTTCGATTCCTTAGATCCTAAGCACCTAGCATGTCATGAATCCATGCGTGATCTTAATAGATAAATCAATTAGTATTATAGATTTTGTTGTCATAACATTAATAATAGAAGAAGTAACATCCATATTTTTTATAATAGCTACATCAAGGATGATGAATGGGGCCCCTGCAGTGTGACGTGCGGTGAAGGTTGGAGGAAGAAAGAAGTTCACTGCAAGATTTTTCTAGAATTTTCTAGAACTATAGCGAAGCTTCCAGATAGTAAGTGTATGGGGCCGAAGCCAGCGGAAGAGACGGAGAGATGCGTGATGGAACCGTGTTCCATGGCGTATGGGACCTCGTTTGGAGATTCCAGTGTGCCCTCGTACGACCGAGGGGGTGACAGGTAAGCTTTTCATCATTTGAACTAAGACTATTATTTATCTAGATGACTTAATAGTACAGAATTCCGTAGTTTAGTGGTTAGAGAGTGACTATTCAATCCAGAGTACTTAAGTACAAAATGTTCCACCTATTGAAAAATCGCTTGCTCGGCTTGAATCTACTTGATTGTTATTTCCAATTCAGCCATATGTCAGACGCCTGAGGCGGTTCATAAAGTCTGAAACTAGAAATGGGACCCGTTAACCATTTTAATTCAAAACTATCCATTGTAGCTATAATTAGGACGCTGCGGTTCAAACCAAATTGAGTGCTACAGAGCTACTAGCAGTCCCTCAATAATAATAATAATACTTAAAAATAGTTATTAATTTACATCACGCAATGAAAGAAATCGACTTCTCTCAACTCAAAATAACTATACTCGTAAAATCAAAACAATTTAACTTTTTATTAAATATAACTCCATGTCACTGCCATTTCAAGGTAACCTTTAGTTTATTTTAAAAAGTGTCGTAAACTAGAGATTTTCCTTCAAAAATCGTCCCTCATTTTAAAAGCTTGCATTAGCTGCACTCAATTTTATATTCTTATGTTCCGCTTTTTACGGAACAAAGGTGAAGTGCGCTCTAAAATTTTAAAGACTTCAGGCGAGTATATTTTTCTTTTTCTTTAGCGAAATGAAGTGGCGTGAGCATAAAATTTTCAATTTTAGATAAAACTTTTTAACGTTAGACACCCATCATACACTCACTTGATTTACGTTCTATTAGTAATCTAATGATTTGAGAATCTTTCAGTCTTTTTTCTTCTAGTAACCGAAAGGTTTTTATAATTTGGTTCATAAAAAACTCGTGAAAAATTTTTGTAACAGTTTGCTTGAGACATTGCAGACTTGATTATACGTCTTGACTGTTATTAATAAAAAAGTCTTAACACTACTTGGCTCTAATGAAATACAATTTCAGTATTTATACATTTACTTTACTCATAAGTAGTTCTAAAACACCATTTTCAACTGACTCGTCAACTACATCATTGACTCTATACTTATACAACTCAACTTCACCTGGTATCCAGTCCCACCCAGGTATGTTCGCATTTCCTTTCATTACCGCCTCATCCTCAGGTGTCAAAGTTAGTATTCTCAATTCCACCAACGCTATCAACAAGCCTAACGGCAAATTGTCTCGGACATCCTTCTTAAATTTGTCTCTAGGATACACTAAATTGACATTTATGTCATAATCTTTTAGAGTTGAATTTAGCGTGTCGTAATAATCAGATTGAAGTTGCTTGAAATGTTCAGATCTGAATTTGGAGGTGGTGCAGAGGTACATANTCGGCCAGAAGCTGGGTATGACACCCCCTCCCCCTCCAGAAGCTGTGTAAGGCTAGCCCCTCCCCCAGCCCATAAGCATAAGCTGGGTATTACATACAATTTTATTTTCTTAAATTACTGGTCGACAGGTTACTATATTTTGATGAATAAATGTTATTAAAAGATTTTTTCTAAAAATGATGGTTTAGCTGGAAAAAAATATTTTCCATCCCAATAGTACGCCGGCTGCACTCGATTCGGATATAATGACGTCACGCGGCCCTGCGTACGTTGACTTTTAGCGGCAAAAACGGCCTATGTTTATTACTTAATATCTTCGTAAGTAATGGTCCGATTTGGATAATTCAAAAAGATATATCTTTTTTATGTCTTAAAGATTAACGTAGATACTAGTTTTATTGAATTTTCTACAACAGTACTGATCCTCATTAGTATTGCTTTGTTCATATGCATAAACCGATCCTTGTTTTGTGTTCTAATTGAATTACTCACGCTTTTGTAATGAAGTTTATCAAGTAAATACAATTGTATAGTTTACTATTGGATCCGGCTCAAATGCATATACCGATCCTCATTTTTTGCTTTGAACACTAAAATCACGCTTTGCCATAAGATTCATTAGTCAATGCAATTATTATTGCTTATTAGTATTGCTTTGTTCATATGTACATGCCGATCCTAACTTTACTGTGATAATTTGTTTATACCGACTAATAATAGCTCCGTAATTGAGAGGTTGTCTGCTTTGATCGTGTAATTTAGTCATAGGTTGATTGGCAATAAACACGAGATAAAGCCCTATACAATTGGTTTTGGTCATTTCTCTCTGTAGGTTAGGTTCCCCCTCCTATAAATTGGGCGACCCAACGCGGCGCCCTCTTATAAATTGGGCGTCCCAACGTGGCGCCCTCTCAGCGTTGCCAGTTTTTTTTTTCGCCAAGTCGGGACTTTGGTACTTTTTGAGTGAAAATAGCGGGATTCTTCCGTCAGAAGCGGGACATAGTAAAAAAACGTATAACCCTAGAGTAGTCGCGCCTTTCCGTGAAACGTGAGTGCTCGCGTATGAGCATTTTGCCGCCCAAACTTAAAGTCCGGTTGTGTGTCAATTAACAGTTTAAAAATATGAAAATCAGTTAAAAATGATAGAGTAAAGCATACACTATTAGAAAATAACGTTTATTAAAGATTTGTGGTTAAAATTTAAAGAAATAAATATATTTTGGAAATGTTAAGAAATATTTATAGAAATCTTAGAAACACTATTGTTTTTACCTACATACATCATCAAATATTAAACTTATTAGCACACTTAAAGGTTTTCCTTATATATGACATGTGCTTCAACAAAACAGGCCTGTCACATGTGCATTTAATGTGCGTTGCACAGTAAATGGCAATGCCAGATTTTGTATGGAAGGTGGCGTCTTTTTTTTTTCGCGCGGCCATCGACCAAACTTTGTTTTTTGATTACAAAATAGTGTAATAAACCAAACTTACTATGGTATGTATACCTCTAAACTCAGTCTGAACTGAGTTACGAGCATTAGAAGTTTAATTATTTTCATACTAGATTTGCTTTTTGCGCGCAAGTTTTGTAAGAAATTACAACAAAATATTGCGCTATTTTTTTATTGCGCTGATTCTGCTGCATACTGATGTCTGGAGCCTTTAATGGATGGTATTGTTTGTTTACACATACAATGTCATTATTTTGTTGCAATTTCTTACAAAACTTGCGCCCAAACAGCAAATCTAGTATGAAAATCATCAAAGTTCTGATGCACGTAACTCAGTTCAGACTGAGTTTAGAGGTATACATGTCATACTAAGTTTGGTTTATTACACTATTTTGTAATCAAAAAACAAGGTTTGGTCGATGGCCGCGCGAAAAAAAAAAGACGCCAATTTCCGGCATTGTCTTTTGCACAACTATTACACCCTTGGCACATCATCNTTCAGCTTCGGAGTCAGATCTGTAAAACAAATTGTGATTATTAAATAATGATTACCCGTAAAACTGTTAAATTACCTATTACTGGTACTCCAGTCACACTTAACAGTTAGACCGCTTCCTGACTTGGCGGTGCGGTATCGGTACGATTTCGTTTCGGTATACCGCATCGGTACCGAAAGCTTACCGAACGCTTATATTTGAATGTACGCTTCCTAATTGGCGCGGCATGTGCGACAGCGGCGCGGCACAGACTCAAATCAGGAACGCTCCATTGAAATATAGGCGCTCGGTAAGCTTTCGGTATCGCGTATTTATATGAGCATACCGATGCCGCGCCGCTACCGCACCGACAAGTCAGGAAACGACCTTAGTCTGAGACTTTTTAACTACAGCAAGCTGTGCACGATAACGTGTCACTCACTACTTGAGTACTGCCTCGCGAGCAAAGTCGTCGACTATCGTTAGTGTGCAATAACTAATTAACTAATGTAAATAGGTACCTTATAATAAGAGCTGGGTTCCTCCTCTCTGACTTTGAGATGCGACTCTCGACAATTGCAGATTCGTACTCGGAGTCAGACCTGAAAATAATTAGTTTATAAATATAAGTAATGTGTAAGACGAACTGAATTATTTCGCGGTTGAATCCGCAGGTAATCCTTAGTAAATTCATTAGTAACTAGAAAACTTTAACTTTACAAACATCGAATCAAATTAATAAGTACAGTTCCATATTTATTTAAAGTGGTCGTCGCTGATGACGAGAGGTCTCAGAAAAATTCTAAGTTCTAGAAGTTTAGTGAAGACTAGAAGATAGTCATGAGTACTCACATTGTGTTTGTTAGATGATAGAAACTCACTCGGAATACTTGGAGCGCTGGGCCTGGAGCACTGGGTTTGGAGCACTAGGTCTGGAGCACTAGGTCTGGAGCACTAGGTCTGGAGCACTGGAGAGCGGTTCCTTGTTGGTTGACGGTTCTTCTGATGCACGAAGCAGTAGATGAAGCACAGAATGAAGTTCGGGTCGAATCGATTCCAATTTATTTGAAAATTATTGCAGAGATCCGCAAAATGTGTTAGGGTTGACAAAAATGTTTTGTTAAGAAACACCATGATTATTCATATGATTCATTCATATGATATTTAAAACACACATAATATAAATATTTCGTTTGAAAAGCCGCCGCGTAGCACTTGAGGGTATCAAAAATCAGAATCAAAAATATTTTTTCAGTTTAGACCACAAGTGGCACTTATGTATTATAACAAAGTACTATTTTTTATTAATCGTCGCTATAATTATGATTTAAAACATAATAAGACAACATATACATTATTATTGATGTTTTTCAGAGAGCGCTGCTGCCCATTCTCTGTTTGATGTGTAGTCCCTAAGTCGCCTCTTACGACACCCGCGGGAAGAGTAGGGGTTGGTGACAAATGTATTCTACTCTGCCGTCACCACACGGATTAAAACATCAATCTTTTAAACTGCGATCTCCAACCCGCCTGCCTAGCGTGGAGATTATGGCAAAACCCTCCACTATAGTGAAGGAGGCTCATAGTCCAGCAGTGGACTGTAAAGGGCTGATGATGATGATACATTATTATGTATTTGAAAATGATTGCAACGTGCATCAAAAGTTATTTAGAAAAATATCACAAGATTAAAGTATATAAAAATACTCAGAGATACTTACTAATATTTTAAATATCATTATCGGAATTGAAGTGGAAATCATATGAATATTATGTTTGATTTGAGATACTTATACAATAAAAATATTTAAATAAAATGGCTAATAATAACGATCATTGTTAATAATGTTGTTACAGTGAAACTAGACTAAATGATTCTAATATAGGTGATGCATCCATAATTACACAGTCGCGAACCGTGCGGAACTCGTGGCAGCCCTGTTGCAGTGCGCGCAAGCATTTTTACAGAAACGCACTTCGGACCTGCGGCCGCGTTGACGACGTGACCATGATGCAATATCCGAATGAAAAATATTCCACTGTATGTTTTAGAAAATTAAATTACATTAATTTTGAACATTTTGGGGATAGTTGGTTTAAGATATTTATTTATTATTTATTTATGCATAGAACGGTAGTACCAATTACACTATTCAAACAAGACGTAACAAAGTTCAGAATAACATTTAAATACTTAATTAAACAATTTAACATAAGAAACTACATAAATCAGATGCGATAGGTACTTATGTATTTTTAATTTGATATTTAATCTACTCAGTTATATGTTAACATTTAGCTTAATATTATTTCTAAGTTATTCAGAAAATATTCGAGATTTCAGTTATGAGCGATATAATAAAATAAACAGTTATTTTGATTTAATTATGGATAATAAATATTAAAACTTGTTTACAGCACTTTTAAAAATATTTGGTTATAATTTATGTTTAGTACATAAATATCTTTTTAATCATTTGAAGCTGTTTAAAAGATATAAATAGTAATATACTACTTATAATAAATTATTTATTACCATTTACTTAGAAGACAATAATATTTTATGGCTTAAATTAGTAAATTAAATTACCTATATTAATTTAATAATATAATTATACGTATTATTTGTGGATTGCTATTTATTTACTTATTTAATGATTTTTAAAATGAAAAGTATTTTATGAGTAAGTAACTTTATTATGTTTTTTAAAGGTATGCACTATTTTTTCTGAGTAATTTAAACTCGAATTGTGTTTAAAATTTTAGATAAAAAATTTCTTAGTAAAAATGAAACAGGAAATTTTGACACCACAACGATGATAATGTAATAATAAATACGAATAACGGATGGCATAGTGACTTGGTTTCTATGAGTCTGGGGTTCGATTCGAACAGACTTAGTATTATTAATATTTATAGTATTGTATGTATTATTAGTAGTTGTAACACGGCGCGCCCTTTTATTTACTTCGAGCGACAAGCGCCGAGCCTGCCACTACGTCACAGCGAGGGGACTACGCGCGCGCGCAGCCGGTTTACGCGGCGTGCGTCACACGCGCTCATCGGCTGGCTATAAAAGGCGTGCGAGCCGGCCTAGAAGTCAGTTCGTCCGCGACGCTCCGCGCTTCCGTACCACGGACGGAACACGATGCGCCCGCCGGATTGAACTCGCCCACACCGCGATGGTAAGGTCTGCTTCCGTAACACGGAAACGGAACTGACTGGACATCGCGTTGTATCGTCCCATGCACGCTTCCCGTGCCTACTAGATCTATATATATAAAAATGAAACCCGTTTCGCGTTGTCACGGCATCACGTGTGAACGGCTGAACCGATTTCGATAATTCTTTTTTTTTAATGTTTGTGGAAGTCCAAGGATGGTTCTTACGGAAAAAAATATTAAGAAAATCTCTACGCTAAGGCGGTACGAAGTTCGCCGGGTCAGCTAGTTGTTAATAGAAATAGTAACTGTTGTCTTGTGGTATCTAAGTTAATTAAAGTAGAATCTGTTCCGCTAATGATTAGAATTTGCTCATTGTTTACATTCATGCTTAGCTCAAATGCATAATCCAATCCTGGTTTTATGACTTAGATAATTATTCACGCTTCTTGCTATAAATTTATTAAGTGAATGCTATTGTACTAAATATGGCCCTAATGCATANTTGTATGTATTATTAGTAGTATTATTAGTATAGTATTTAATTTTCCAATTTAATAGGCATCCACTACGTAACAGTTTAGCAGAAGAGATTGCTTATAATCATGTAAATCTTGTAAATAATAATTTTAAGATGTTATTGCTCCCTGATCTGTTACAATCTAGGATTTTATGGATAATAAAGAAGTAAGTACGTTGATATTTCAAATCAACTTCTTCTGTGAGGTCAATGATGAATTCAACTCAAATTAGTATCTGATATTTAGTTGCAAATAAACAAATTGAATATAGAATAGAAAAAAAGTTAAGGAACCTTCCATTACTTTTATAGCAAAAGTTTCATTTTTGGAGACTTATCTGACATTCAATAAAAAAATATAAATATTAGGACATACCTAGTTTTTTTATTAAAACCATTGCGAGTTTTATGTTTACTTCTTTGATTTTAATTTTTTGATAAACGAAATTAACTTCGACCCGTTTGATATAAACTAAAAGTCCAGAAGTCCTGATCATGTATAGGATGCACATAGTTTTGCTTCTGTGTATTTGCTTTAAAATAAGCCTAGGCGTTTAAATATAGGAGCACAATGTGTAGTATCAAATTTCATTCACCGATAATTAACATCCGTTCAAATACAGGCGCGGTAGGTAAGAACTACGCTAAGATATCAAATTGCAAGTTCCGGCGCGNCGAGGGGGCGACAGGTAAGCTTTTCAATAGTTGAACTAAGACTGTTTTTATCTAGATGATTCAATATTCCATAGTCTAGTGGTTAGAGAATGACTATTCAATCCAGAGTACTTAAGAACCTATTGAAAAATCGCTAAATAATTTGTTACCAGTGTTTTAGAGACTTGCAGGCTTGAATCTACTTGTTATTTTTTCGAATTCAGTCATGTCAGACGCCTGAGGGGGTCATAGTCTGAAACTAGGAATGGAACTTGTTAACCATTGCAATTCAAAACTATTTTCAATAAGCTATAAATTAGGACCTTGGGTGGTTCAAACCAAATTTTGTGCTACATAGCTACTAACAGTCCCTCAATAATAATAATAAAAACTAAAAATAGTTTTTAATTTCCATCACGCAATGAAAGAAATCGCCTTCTCTCAACTCAAAATTATACTCGTAAAAACAAAACAACTTAACTTTTTATTAAATTATATCGTATCACTGCCATTTCAAGGTAACCTTCAGTTTATTTTAAAAATTGTCGTAAACTCTAGAGATTTTCCTTCAAAAATCGTCCCTCATTTTAAAAGCTTGCATTAGCTGCACTCAATTTTATATTTTTATGTTCCGCTTTTTACGGAACAAAGGTGAAGTGCGCTCTAAAATTTTAAAGACTTCAGGCGAGTATATTTTTCTTTTTCTTTAGCGAAATGAAGTGGCGTGAGCATAAAATTTTCAATTTTAGATAAAACTTTTTAACGTTAGACACCCATCACACACTCACTTGATTTACGTTCTATTAGTAATCTAATGATTTGAGAATTGTACCCTATTTACTATTGGAGTCTTTTTTTCTTCTAGTAACTGAAAGGTTTTTATAATTTGGTTTATAAGAATCTCATGGAAAAATTTGGTATAAAAAGTTTGCTTGAGACATTGCAGACTCTTAATTATACGTCTTGACTGTAATAATAAAAAATAATAATAATGATAAAATCAATAATAATAAAAAAATGTCTTGACACTACTTAGCTCTAATGAAATACAATTTAAATATTTATACATTTACTTTACTCATAAGTAGTTCTAAAACACCATTTTCAACTGACTCGTCAACTATATCATTGACTCTATACTTATACAACTCAACTTCACCTGGTATCCAGTCCCACCCAGGTATGTTCGCATTACCCTTCATCACCGCCTCATCCTCAGGTGTCAAAGTTAGTATCCTCAATTCCACCAATGCTATCAACAAGCCTAACGGCAAATTTTCTCGGACATCCTTCTCAAATTCGTCTCTAGGATACACTAAATTGACATTTATGTCATAATCTTTTAGAGTTGAATTTAGCGTGTCGTAATAATCAGATTGAAGTTGCTTGAAATGTTCAGATCTGAATTTGGAGGTGGTGCAGAGGTACATAAAATACACAATGTCGGTAGCTGGGCTGGCGCACCGCATAGCTTGGAAGTCTATGAAACAGATTTTGGAGTGGTCAGATTCCTGAAACAAGTGAAAATGAAGACTGTAATAACAATAATAGATTGATAAAGGCCACTTAAATTGATTTAATTTTCGTTGTATTATGCAATATCTTCCAAAGGTGTTAAGTGGTAAAATAATCCTTTTATTAAGCGATAGCTTAGAAAGACAAATAAAATTAACAGTGCAAATACTACTATTGCGTTAATATGTACCTGCGTGTGATATAAAATTCCCTACTGATGGATGAGCAAGATTTCTTTAACGAACATAAAGTATACGCAAGTTGACTGCTAAATCAAGGGGTAATACCCCTCTCTTTCTCGATAAACTTACCTTTTTAAACAGCATGTTGTTTACCCACAAGTCACCGTGGCATAAGACACTGTGCTTCGACGGTTGATTATACATTTTCAACAGTTCCAACAACTTCGGTCTGGCTTTCAGTAATTTCTTTCTAGCTTCACTATCTGTTACCAAATTCACCGACATATCGTAAGACTCGAAGAAATAATTCCTTAGCTTGCTTTTGCAAAGAAAATTTTCTTGATACAGTATATCCTCAAACTTGACTTTGATTTTGCAATAATCTTCATAATCTTGGTTTTCTAACACAAAAGAGAGAGCGTGAAATTTAGCTAATTCAGTCAAAATTAGCTGAACTTGATTAAGATTCAGTTCTTTAAACTCTGCTAAAGTGTCATCACCAACAAATCCAGATTCACTCAAATCTCTTAATATTATAATTTCCTTACTCCTATCTGCATTAGAATACAAGCATTCAGGAAGCAATACCCTCTTTTCAGCATCAATTTTTTCTTGCACTTCCTTGAACCTCGGTAAAATGTCATTATAAACAGTCACTTCTCGCTTATGTATATCATGGAACAGTTCTTGCCTTGTTGTATTCACTAATGTTTTCACTATAACACTTTGAATTTCATTTTTATCTGTATCTCTTATCACGACCCTAAAGATGTTTGCCACAAAATTCTCACGTCCTCCACTGATGTAATCCACGTGGTATTCGAAATTTCCAATCCCCAATCTTTCTGCTACACTTTTCAGACAAGTATGAAGTTCTACACAATCAAATTCTTCAGGCTCACTTATATTTACATCTAAAGACATTTTGAGCGTTTTGTATCACGACTATCAGTGAAATGACACCCATTTTGAGTAATTTATCGATGATGATAAATATTTGATAAGATTATCAGTGTTTGCTATTACGTCAGGTCAACAAGGTGAATGATAGTCTGCTTCCAATTAAAGTTATCAATTTGGACAGGATTCTTTAATAACATTTAATTGCAATGACAGATAGCAAGTAGTAAAACCTAAATTATTTATTGTTTTTGTATGTGACTTTCCTTTAGGCATGTACTAAATGATCTTAAAGGATTTACCGAGTCCTCTTGGCACCCTTTAAGAACCGAACCCAGGACATTCAAAGCTCTTTGCCCTCTGTTTGTCAGTGTCTCATCTAACCAAAAAGGTTAGTAAACTTATTTCACTTCAGCGCCGCAACATTAATTACGCTTAACAAGAAAAAATGCGCCACCAAAGTGCCAATTAGATGACGTGTATATCTTTATTAGTAAAAATAATAGCGCTGTATATTAAGTTTTAGAAGCGAGGCGAGGTTGGTGCATTTTTATTAGTAAGTTTATTTTTACTTTAAACAGTTATTTTATAGCTTCGTCCAGTTGTTTGTTTGCTTGAAAGTAAACATATAAATTACCGAGAATAATTCCTTAAGAAATATAGTGGTAATTTACCAAATTATTTTGTATTTCTCAGTGCCATTTATTTCAGATTTCTTAATAAAATTAAATATGTACTAAATAATACGAATATCTGTTATAGTGTTCGCTGAACATGAAACAAGTTAAAGGTATCAGAATGACTCCAGACATATTCATAGATATCAATGTAGGTGTTTTTATGAAAAAGTTTCTTGTTAGGGCGAAATTGAATTACTAGCTAGCTAATACATACTTACTAGCAATTAATTTTTATTTTTCTACCCTATTGGTTTATTAATACAGTACCTACCTAGTTTCCGATTTTATGAATTGCCAGAGACGTCTGACTGAGAATAATAACGTAGGCCATACAAACAATACCTACGCATCTTTTTTTCACGTAATCTGCATTCAAAATCAAAATAATAATTATTACTAATTGCAACTTTGCAAGTCATCAATAAGAGCCTTTACATGTCTCATTATTGTTTGCCCTATCAGCGCTTCGAGACAAACATTTGGCAAGTTACAACTGAGAGCAAGTGCGTTGTCAAAACCAAACTACTCTAACCAACGCATAAAACTCACTAAATCGAATCCAAAAACAAGTCGAACTCTCTAGCCGCTGGACCATCAGTAGCAGATGCAACTTTCAACGCTGAAATGGTTTAATAAAACTTTAAATGAAACTTGTTCAGCAGGTCGCTGATCTTCGGAACATCAAGCAACATCAGGGTAGCCCCAGGGTCTCCGGGCAAGTCGTACTCCTGGAAGGAGAAGGGATACACCAGCTGCAGTGCCTCTTGCCTCAGTGGGGTTCAGGTTTGTTCTTTTGAATGGAAAATATTGTTGATAACGTCAAATCTTAATTTAGGTCAGGTTTTCTATCTCCACGAGCTCTCAATGCCACTCGTATTCTTGGAAGGAGAAGGAGTATATCAGCTGAGGAACTTCTTGACTTAATGAGTCTTCTTAAAGTCTTCTTGAGTTTACGTCAAGTACCGTCACGGTAACCCCAAAACTTAAGCAAACTCGTTCTTCTAACTAATATGAGAAAAGAAGTTCAAATTTATATCACACCACTCATGGTGACTCCAGAATCTTTAGACAAGTTATAAAAATGAGAAGTTGGGCTATACTAGCTGCGAATTTTCTTCACTCAATCGAGTTCAGTTGTATGTAATAGTAAAGAAACTTGCTCTTATGTTGACAATTCGGTACGCCCAAAGAAATAAATGCTGGACCTTCGAGCAAGATTATCTCACAGAAAAATTATACCAGTTGCAATGTTTCTTGCCTAGTTCTTCAATGTTTTCTCATAACAAACTGTCCTATATTTGTCATTCAGGAGCTGATAATCCAATGCGTCCGTGACGAAGACGGCAAGAACGCTTCCCCCTACATGTGCGACCCGCTGACCAAGCCTGAAAACAGAGTGAGGACCTGCAATGACCACCCCTGCCCACCGAGGTAAGCCATCTGATATTGTATACTATTGTATATATTGTAACATATTTGTTACAGTAAAAACTCATGATCGATCAATATCACTTTTGACTGATTTTCCCAGTTTTATTTTATGGGTTTTGACTGTAACATATACATGCAGGGTAGTAGTGACTCGTGGCCAAAACTTTATCAATATCTCGAGCTTGATTTTATGATTTTTGTCTTTCCTTTTGTTATTTTTATGATTCTTCAATGTAAAATATACTGTTTCTATAAAACTGGAAGATTAATGAGTGAATGTACCTGTTCAGAGTGTAATATGAAAATGCAAAAAAGTATTTTTTCGATAGAAAATTTAAGATTTTGTTAAAAATTATAGCATCCTTTTATAATTTAAGACCATTCAGCCTTTGTGTATCAGATCTGATTGATTGATTGACATGGTCATATAGCCACAACGTTGTTCTGTTAATGCAGACCACAAATTAAAACTCACCTAATGCCTAATCAGAGGCCTGTTTGTACCTATTTCGTTTAAATATTATGTTTATTTTCATTATTATTTATCTACCCTACAATAACATTGCAAGATTTTTCAATAACACTCAGCTCTCTCACACAATGCATTTCACTTGTAGATGGAACTACACCGAGTTTTCTCAATGCACGAAGTCGTGCGGCATCGGAATACAAACCAGGGAGGTGACGTGCATACACGAGGTGAGTGTTAGCATGTTAGGTGGTGTTCACACCAGTGTTGAATATAAGCAGGATCAGTGTGAGCCCCAGTGTTGAGACCGTATCAGTAATCGGATTGCACAAAATTGCGCGCTAGTTTTTTTTTCACGAAGAATATCAGTGGCCCCTCTGTTGACCATGCAGTCAACAAAAAGCATGTAATAATTAATGTATCTTTCTTTCTTTCAGTCGACTCTGTAGCTTAGTACATCGATTAAACGAAAGCACTAGTTCGAGAAAATATTTTGACAGCCCAAGTATGTCTTGGCAAAGACAAATTATGACGACGATTTTCGAATACCCATTGCGATTATTAGAAATCATAAGGTGACATCTTGTTTTTTTATCACAACTCGAAATAATAACGTTCTCACTCTAGAATTAGGAAAAACAGTTCGATCAGTATGGAGAAGAGTATTACTCTACTTATTCGTTATTTGTTTTTCAGTCTGAACACGTCCTTACGTAAGCAAAACTTGCCACTCACAGCGCAAGAATTGTATTCATTTTATTCGTATTTTAGACTAAGAAGTTGTTTATTGTATTAACTTTTTACATAGGCAGTATAATAGTATAGAATTGCCTTCATGCAACTAAAACATCATCAGTCTATTTAGATTAAACGGACATTCTCTTAAGGTGTGATATGACTGCTCAAATACACAACTTTAACCTTTTAAAAAACCTGGATAACAACTATCCTATGTTCTTCCCTGGGTCTCAGATTATCTCTAGTTGCTAAATTTCATCAAAATCAGTATAGATTTACGCGTGAAAAGCTAACAGACTGACAGGTATTATAATATCAGTAAGAACATTACATGCTCTACAAGCACGTTCAGGATCTCCACCAAAGTTTGACAGCCAAACTGACACATTACATCACAGCTGCTAATATAGGAGTCATGAGATGATATGAGTTACACAGCTCGCTCCTAACACGTCATGAGGCGTGAGTTGCATAGCATCTACGCGTGATTAGATTTCAGCGGTACTAAAGCATGTAATGCTATTGAGGCAATGCGACATTGTTTAGATTGTGCTGCTCAAAACACATTCTGGATTTGGAACCTATTACGTGTACCTTAATCTAGATTATGGCCTTATCTGAAGAACTTATCTGACAAATAAACTTCAAAATGCTACGGCTGTTACATTCAGTTAACAATATGACAACTAACCAGGATCCTGCGAAATTGATTAACGAAATAAATAAACGAAATGCCTTTTAGTTGCGGCTTAAAGAAAAAAACTGAATTCTGTGCCAATTTCTAAAACTGGGTTCAAACTATAGCAAAAGTGATAGCAGAGATTCACTTATGCCGACTTGCTGGCACCATCTTACTTTAACTTTAACTTTAACAAACGTCAAAAATCTGTCAAACTGAATACAAAAAGCACCGGTTATCGTTAATGTTACGGTTAAAATAAGGTGCTGCAACTCAGCCTTAACTCACTAAATAAAGACACAAACGTCTCACACTGCGCGTGGACCCACAGTGTTACACACGAACCAATCACAGAGCTCTATTCAACGCTGTGCGCCCGATTTGCTGTTTCACTTAAGCAAGCATCGTTCGTAAATACGGGCGTAATTCAGCTGATCTTTTTACTGTTTCTTAGCCTACTCATATACCAGTTTATACTCGTACTGCAATAACCCAACTTTCCCCACCAGGTGACGAGGGGAGGCACGAACACAGTGGTGGTGCCGAACAGCATGTGTCCCCAGCCTCCCCCNCTTTCAGTAATTTCTTTTTAGCTTCACTATCTGTTACCAAATTCACCGACATATCGTAAGACTCGAAGAAATAATTCCTTAGCTTGCTTTTGCAAAGAAAATTTTCTTGATACAGTATATCCTCAAACTTGACTTTGTTTTTGCAATAATCTTTATAATCTTGGTTTTCTAACACAAAAGAGAGAGCGTGAAATTTAGCTAATTCAGTCAAAATTAGCTGAACTTGATTAAGATTCAGTTCTTTAAACTCTGCTAAAGTGTCATCACCAACAAATCCAGATTCACTCAAATCTCTTAATATTATAATTTCCTTACTCCTATCTGCATTAGAATACAAGCATTCAGGAAGTAATACCCTCTTTTCATTAGCAATTTTTTCTTGTATATCTTTAAACCTCGGTAAAATCTCATTATAAACAGTCACTTCTCGCTTATGTATATCGTGAAACAGTTCTTGTCTGGTTGTATTCACTAATGTTTTCACTATAACACTTTGATTTTCATTTTTATCTGTATCTCTTATCACGACCCTAAAGATGTTTGCCACAAAATTCTCACGTCCTCCACTGATGTAATCCACGTGGTATTCGAAATTTCCAATCCCCAATCTTTCTGCTACACTTTTCAGACAAGTATGAAGTTCTACACAGTCAAATTCTTCAGGTTCACTAATATTTACATCTAAAGACATTTTGAGCGTTTTGTATCACGACTATCTATGAAATGACACCCATTTTGAGTAATTTATCGATGATGATAAATATTTGATAAGATTATCAGTGTTTGCTATTACGTCAGGTCAACAAGGTGAATGATAGTCTGCTTCCAATCAAAGTTATCAATTTGGACAGGATTCTTTAATAACATTAAATTGCAATGGCAGATTAGCAAGCAGTAAAACATAAATTATTTATTGTTTTTGTATGTGACTTTCCTTTAGGCATGTAATAAATGAACTTAAAGGATTTACTGAGACCTCTTGGCAACCTTAGAGCATCGAACCCAGGACATTCAAAGTATTGCCCTCTGTTTGTCAGTGTCTGATCTAACCAAAAAGGTTAGTAAACTTATTTCACTTCAGCGCCGCACCATTAATTACGCTTAACAAGAAAAAATGCGCCACCAAAGTGCCAATTAGATGACGTGTATATCTTTATTAGTAAAAATAATAGCGCTGTATATTAAGTTTTAGAAGCGAGGCGGAGCTTGCTGCATTTTTATTAGCAAGTTTATTTTTACTTTAAACAGTTATTTTATAGCTTCGTCCAGTTGTTTGTTTGACATGTAAATTACCGAGAATATTCACTAAGAAATACAGTGGTAATTTGACCAAATTACCACTGTATTACGCAGTGCAATTTATTTGAGATTTCTTAATTAAATGAAATATGTACTAAATAATACGAATATTCTGTTATAGTGTTCACTGAACATTAAACAAGTTAAAGGTATCAGAATGACTCCAGACATATTCATGGATATTAATATAGGTATTTTCATGAAAAGTTTCCTGTTAAGGCGAAATTGAATTAGTAGCTAGCTAATTCTAGCAATAATTAGTTAATTTTACCTGACTGCGCTAGAAGGAGGGTTATGCTTTTTTATTTTTCTACCGTATTACAGTACCTAATTTCCGATTTTATGAATTGCCAGAGACTTCTGACTGAGAATAATAATGTAGGTCATACAAACAATACCTACGCATCTTTTTTTCATGTTGTATGGTCATGTTCGTAATCTGAATTCAAAATTAAAAATGTTACGATCATACATCGAGATCTTTACATGTATCATTATTGTTTGCCCTACCAGCGCTTTGAGACAAACATTTGGCAAGTGCTAAGAGCAAGTGCGTTGTCAAAACCAAACTAGTCTAACCAACGCATAAAACTCACTAAATCGAATCCAAAAACAAGTCGAACTCTCTAGCCGCTGGACCATCAGTAGCAGATGCAACTTTCAACGCTCAAAATGGTTTAATAACTTTAAATGAAACTTGTTCAGCAGGTCGTTGATCTTCGGAACATCAAGCAACATCAGGGTCGCCCCAGGGTCTCCGGGCAAGTCGTACTCCTGGAAGGAGAAGGGGTACACCAGCTGCAGTGCCTCTTGCCTTAGTGGGGTTCAGGTTTGTTCTTTTGAATGGAAAATATTGTTGATAACGTCAAATCCCAATTTAGGTCAGGGTTTCTATCTCGAAGAGCTCAATGCTACTCGTATTCTTGAAAGGAGAAGGAGTATATCAGCTGAGGAACTTCTTGACTTAATGAGTCTTCTTAAAGTCTTCTTGAGTTTACGTCAAGTACCGTCACGGTAACCCCAAGACTTAAGCAAACTTATTTTTATGAGAAAAGGAGTTCAGATCTCGTATATCTAGTACCTTTAAAGACAAGATTTATTGAAAATTACTTCGCCACTCATGGTGACTCCAGATTCTTCAGGCAAGTAGCAAATGAGTAATTCGAGCTATACCAGCTGCGAATTTTCTTCACTCAATCGAGTTCAGTTGTATGTAATAGTAATTAATAGTAAAGAAACTTGCTCTTATATTGACAATTCGGTACGCCCAGAGAAATAAATGCTGGATCTTCGAGCACAATTATCTTACAGAAAAATTATACCAGTTGCAATGTTACTTGCCTAGTTCTTCAATGTTTTCTCATAACAAACTATCCTATATTTGTCACCCAGGAGCTGATAATCCAGTGCGTTCGAGACGAAGACGGCAAGAACGCTTCTCCATACATGTGTGACCCTCTGACCAAGCCTGAGAACAGAGTGAGGACCTGCAATGACCACCCCTGCCCACCGAGGTAAGCCTTATGATATTGTATACAATGTGTTACAGTCAAAACTCATAATCGGTCAAAACCATTTTTGACTGCAAAAATCTGTCAAAAGTGGTTTTGACTGATGTCCTTGGTCAATATCACTTTTGACTGATTTTCCCAGTTTTATTTTATGGGTTTTGACAGTAACATATACATACAGGGTAGTAGAGATTCGTGCTCAAAACTTTATCAATATCTCGAACTTGATTTCATAATTTTTGTCTCTCCTTTTGTTAATTTCTAAGATTATTCAATGTAAAAGATACTGTTTTTATAAAACTGGAAGATTAATGAGTGAATGTACCTGTTCAGAGTGTAATATGAAAATGCAAAAAAGTATTTTTTCGATAGAAAATTTAAGATTTTGTTAAAAATTATAGCATCCTTTTATAATTTAAGACCATTCAGCCTTTGTGTATCAGATCTGATTGATTGATTGACATGGTCATATAGCCACAACGTTGTTCTGTTAATGCAGACCCTACAAATTAAAACTCACCTAATGCCTGATCAGAGGCATGTTTGTACCTATTTCGTTTAAATATTAGGTTTATTTTTATTATTATTTATTTACCCTACAATGCAAGATTTTTCAATAACACTCAGCTCTTACACAATGCATTTCACTTGTAGATGGAACTACACCGAGTTTTCTCAATGCACGAAGTCGTGCGGCATCGGAATACAAACCAGGGAGGTGACGTGCATACACGAGGTGAGTGTTAGGCGGTGTTCACACTGTTGAATAAAGCAGGATCAGTGTGAGCCCCAGTGTTGAGACCGTATCAGTAATCGGATTGAACAAAATTGCGCGCTTGTTTTTTTTTTCACGAAGAATATCAGTGTCACTTCTGTTGACCATGCAGTCAACAAAAGCATGTAATAAATGTATCTTTCTTTCTTTAAGTCAACTCTGTAGCTTAGTACATCGATTAGACGAAAGCACTAGTTAAAGAAAATAATTTGACAGCTCAAGTATGTCTTGGCAAAGACAAGTTATGACGACGATTTTCGAATACATATTGCTATTATTAGAAATCATAAGGTTACTTGTTTTTTATCACAAAACTCTATAATCCTACTAATATTATAAATGCGAAAATTTGGATGTCTGGATATTTGTTACTCTTTCACGCAAAAACTACTGAACGGATTTTGACGAAACTCTACAGTATTAATGTTTATAACCCAGAATAACATATAGGCTATAATTAATGACGATCTGTGACAAACTAAATTTCGGGCAAAAGCTAGTAACGTAATAATTTTCTCACTCTAGAATTAGAAAAACAGTTCGATTAGTATTGAGAAGAGTATCATTCGTTCCTACTTATTAATTATTTGTTTTTCAGTCTGAACCCGTCCTTACGTATGCGAAACTTGCCACTCACAGCGCAAGAATAGTATTCATTTTATTCGTATTTTAGACTAAGAAGTTGTTTATTGTATTAACTTTTTACATAGGCAACATAATAGTATAGAATTGCCTTCATGTAACTAAAACATTATTAGTCTATTTAGATGAAACGGACATTCTCTTAAGGTGTGATATGACTGCTCAAATACACAACTTTAACCTTTTCAAAAACCTGGATAACAACTATCCTATGTTCTTCTCTGGGTCTTAGATTATCTCTAGTTGCTAAATTTTTCAAAATCAGTATAGTGGCTTACGCGTGAGAAGCTAACAGACTGACAGGTATTATAATATTACTAAGAACATTACATGCTCTGCAAGCACGTTCAGGATCTCCACCAAAGTTTGACAACCAAACTGACACATTGCATCACAGCTGCTAATATAGGAGTCATGAGATGCTATGAGCTACACAGCTCGCTTCTAACACGTCATGAGGCGAGATGAGTTGCATAGCATCTACGCGTGATTAGATTGCAGCGGTACTAAAGCATGTAATGCTATTGCAGAGGCTATGCGACATTGTTTGGATTGTGCTGTTCAAAACACATTCTGGATTTGGAACCTATTACGTGTACCTTAATCTAGATTATGGCCTTATCTGAAGAACTTATCTGACAAATAAACTTCAAAATGATACGGCTGTTACATTCAGTTCACAATATGACAACTTACCAGGATCCTGCAAAATTGATTAACGAAATGCCTTTTAGTTGCGGCTTAAAGAAAAAAACTGAATTCTGTGCCAATTTCTAAAACTGGGTTCAAACTATAGTAAAACTGATAGCAGAGATTCACTTATGCCGACTTGCTGGCACCATCTTACTTTTAACTTTAACAAACGTCAAAAATCTGCCAAACTCCATACAAAAAGCGCCGGTTATCGTTAATGTTACGGTTAAAATAAGGTGGTGAAACTCAGCCTTAACTTACAAAATAAAGACACAAACGCCCGTAGTCATAAATATTACTATGAAGTCTCACAGTACGCGTGGCCGCACAGGATGACACACGAACCAATCACAGAGCTCTATTCAAATCTGTGATCCATGCAAGCATCGTTTGTGAACACGGGCGTGATTCAGCTGATCTTTTGACTGTTACTTAGCCTACTCATACTTTACGCGACAAAATACAGTATATCCAACTACAACCCAACTTTCCCCTGCAGGTGACGAGAGGAGGCACGAACACAGTGGTGGTGCCAAACAGCATGTGTCCCCAGCCTCCCCCGCCGGACCGGCAGTACTGCAACGTGCTGGACTGCCCCGTGCGCTGGCAGACCGGCGAGTGGACCAAGTGCTCCAAGACCTGCGGCGGCGGCCTCAAGCAGAGAGAGGTGAGGCTTCTTACAGCTGACCATGATGACGAAGACTACGAGATGAAAAGGACGAAGGAGCATTCAACTTTCTTCAACAACTTAGAACTAAGCGGTCTACTACTGTAACATAAAGCAGAAAGAGGACGGTCTTCTTTCCCCAACTTCCTTATCTTTAGGTGATAGGAGGAATGAACACAGAGATGATGCTGAACCAATTTCTCTAAGACTTGTAGACGACATTAAGCAGAGGGAGGTGAGTCTTCTTCCCCCAATTTCCTCCAGGTGACAGAGGAGGCTCGAAAGCAGTGGTGGTGCTCCAAGACTTGCATCGGCGTCAAGAAAAGAGAGAGTTGAGTCTTCTTTCCCCAACTCCTCTGTCAGGTGACAAGAGGAGTCTCTAATACAGTGGTGGTGCTTCAAGACTTGCGGCGGTGTCAAGTAGAGAGTAAGGCGAGTCCTTTTCCTCCAACTTCCTCCTCTCTAGATAGTAAAAGGAGGCTCAAACATAGCGGTAGTTCTGGACCAAGTGCTGGACCAAGTGCTGGACCAAGTGTTGGACCAAGTGCTCCAAGGCTTGTAGTGGAGTCAAACAGAGGGAGGTGAGTCTTCTTTCCTTAACTTCCTCCAGGCGACAGAGGAGGCACGAACATAGTACTGTAGTGGTGTCGAACAGCATGTGTCCCCAGCCTCCCCCGCCGGACCGGCAGTACTGCAACGTGCTGGACTGCCCCGTGCGCTGGCAGACCGGCGAGTGGACCAAGTGCTCCAAGACCTGCGGCGGCGGCCTCAAGCAGAGAGAGGTGGGCTTCTTACAGCTGACGATGATGATGATGACGACAAGATGCGAAGCATGGAGCGATTCAGCAGCATATATAGGACAACTTAGAACTAAGCGATCTACTACTGCAGCAGAGAGAGGTGGGGCTTCTTACTGCTGATGATGATGACGACGAAATGAACGTAAGAAGGAGCATTTTCAACTTTCTTCTACAACTTAGAACTAAGCGGTCTACTACTATCATATCAGGGAGACAGAGGTGAGGATTCTTTACAGTATAACGAAGATAATGAGGAGACGAGACTCGACTGATGGAATGATGTAGCAGCAAACGAGCGACGTTCGTTTGCAAAGAAGTCATATTAAGCCTTCTATCCACTTGAGCTTACTCAGGCGAATGAGCGGCTCATTTCGCCGAGCCACTGATTCTCCTGAGCATGCTCAAGTGGATAAAAGACTTTAGGGGAGTGAACCCAGTGCTCCAGGACCTATGGTGGCTGCGTGAAGCAGAGAGAGGTATGTCTTTTTCCCCCGATTTCCTTCACCAGGTGACAAGAGGAAGCACGAACACAGTGAGAGTGGGGTGAAATAGAAAAAGATCGGTCTTCTCCCAACTTTCTCCAGGTAACAGAGGAGGCACGAACACAGGGGTGGTGCCGAACAGCCTCCCCCGCCGGACCGGCAGTACTGCAACGTGCTGGACTGCCCCGTGCGCTGGCAGACCGGCGAGTGGACCAAGTGCTCCAAGACCTGCGGCGGCGGCCTCAAGCAGAGAGAGGTGGGGGTCCTTACAGCTGATGGTGATAATGGTGATGATGATGAGCAGACGAAGGAGCATTTTGAACTTTCTTCAGCAATTAACTTTAAACTAAGCGGTCTACTACAGCAACACAAAGCAGAAAGAGGGCGGTCTTCTTCCTTGGGTAAGAAGACCTTCCTTTGAGGAAGTTGGTCCTCCTCTCCAGGTGACAAGAGGTGTCTCTAATACAGTGGTGGTTCTCCAAGACGTGCGGTGGCGTTAAGAAGAGACAGGTGGGTTTTCTTCCCCCAACTTCCTCCTCTCTAGATAATAAAAGGAGGCTCGAACACAGCGGTAGTGCTGGACCAAGTGCTCCATGACTTGTGACGGCATCAAGCAGTGATAGGTGGGTCTCCTTCTCCCAACTTCCTCCAGGTGCCAGAGGAGGCACGAACACAGTGGTGGTGCCGAACAGCATGTGTCCCCAGCCTCCCCCGCCGGACCGGCAGTACTGCAACGTGCTGGACTGCCCCGTGCGCTGGCAGACCGGCGAGTGGACCAAGTGCTCCAAGACCTGCGGCGGCGGCCTCAAGCAGAGAGAGGTGGGGCTTCTTACAGCTGATGGTGACGAGGAGCCGAGACGAGTCTCATGGAACGATGTAGCAGTGAACAAGTGACGATCGTTTGCAAAGAAGCTATGTTAAGGAGTGGACTTAAAATATTTCGTCACCGTCACCGACAATTTGTCAAACTAGGGGAGTAGACCAAGTGCTCCACGGCCTGCGGTGGCGGCGTCAATTAGAGAGAGGTGAGGCATCTTTACAGTCTAAGGGCGCCTTCAAATTAGACGCGTGAGGAAGCGCTGATATGGCAGCACTCACTAATAGTTTTCAAACAAGCTATGCTAAGCCTTGGAACCACTTGAGCATGTTCAGGTGAATGAAGGGCTCATTTGGTAGGAGTGTAAGTAGACAAGTGTTGAATGCGTAACCATTTTTTTTTATACACAAATACTACTCTACTCATGGTTATTTATTGATCCCAAAAACCCAAAGTTCTTAATTAAACACCAAGTGGATGCAAGCAAGTGTGGTAGAGAGACCAGCATTCAGTGTCATCCAGTGCTACCATGTCCTGAAAAATCAAATATTTATTTATTCCACCAGGTGGATTGCAAGCAAGTGATGGCACAGTCCCACGTCGTAGAGAGACCGGCCTCACTCTGCAGCTCTCCTCGGCCTGCCTCCACCAAGTCGTGCAACACCAGGCCTTGTCTCCTGGACACTGCTTCTCCAGAGATATCTTTGGCCAACTCGTCGTATATACAGCATGATCCAAAGAAGAAAAAGGTATGTACGCTTCCTTGGTCTGATTAAAGAGAGTCTTGATAGATGTAAGCTCTAGGTGCACACATGTTTACCATAAGAGTCGTCCAGTGCTTAATTTAGTGGAAACATAAAGACTGGAATAGAGCGTTCTAAAATGGGCAAAGGTACAAAGTAAAGAAGACTTTCTTTACTTCGCTCTACCTACAGTTTATCCATTATCAATTCTCCAAATCCTAAATAGGTACCCTGGATGGTCATCATGATTTGGAGAATCAACCATGATCGTTTCAACATTTTGACTCAAATGAATTTACTGCTAGCTGAAGAAACTAACAATCCCAAATGTCTCCATCTTTTTCAGACCACACAGCAGAAGTCACATGATTTGAATCCAAATATTATTGTTACATAGCTAGTTGGTACGGCATTAAAATGAAGGGAATAAAACCTTTCTTTTCAACAGGTGACAGTAAAAGTGGGGGGTTCAGCGACGATTTTCTACGGGACGCAAGTGAAGATCAAGTGTCCGGTCAAGGGCTACAACAGGACCAAGATCCAGTGGGCGAAGGACCATCAGATCATCACCAAGTCTAAGAAGTACAAGATTTCGAAGAAGGTTAGCACACAATAAATATAAAGAACACAATTTAGGCAAAGATTTACCTGATTTTAGTTTAGCTTTTATAGTGCAAAAAATACATAATGGAATTCGTGGTAATACAATTCACTGGCCCTTTTATTGAAACGAAACAGTGGTAAGGTTAATACTGGGACGTGTAAAAGTGCTTTTTAAAAGCCTATTTGCAAAAATAAATAAGTTTTTATGAGTTTATCATCAGGTTTCCATTAAAGGAATATGCCAATTCACCAGAGCAAAATGGAGGATTTGGACTACATACCCTATAACTCTACTACTAACTAGGGATATAAAATAGTTATGGAAATAACATTAATTTTCCATCCCTCTCCCACCAGGGTGCTCTCCGCATCACCTCTCTCTCGCTCCGCGACCACGGCGTGTACACGTGCGTGGCGGGCCGCTCGAGCGCCAACCTTACGCTGTTGGTCAAGCCACGGCCTGGCGAGTTCCCGTCCAGCGAGGAGATAGAACGGCACAAGGCGCTGGATGAACCGTCGTCCCCTTTAGCTGACAGGTAGGCTCACGCTGGATGGTCAAACCTCGGCCTTACATGTTTTCTTCCAGGAGATTTAAAACTAAGGTTCTGGACGAGCCATTGTCCTCTTTAGGTATCTGGTAGGTTGTAGTTCCCGTCCAGCGAGGAGATAGAACGGCACTAGGCGCTGGATGAACCGACGTCTTGCCTTAGCTGACAGCCGCCTTTGGTTAGGCCGCAGCCGTGCATGTTTTCTTTCAGAGAGTAGATAAAACCAAAGCAGGTTGAAACGATCGTCCCTTTTAGCACAAACTCACGTTTTGGTCAACCGCAGCCGTCAAGTTTTATTCTAGAAAAGAGACAGTAAAACTAAGGTTTTAGAAGAACCATCATCCTCTTTAGCTAACGGAAGAATTTAACGCCAAATAACGCTGTTAGTTAAGCCACGGCCGTACATGTTTTCTTCTAGATGAAATAAAATTAAGATGCTGTACTTAAAACCGTCGCCCTAAGGCAGCAAGTTTATATTTTTATTTTATTGACATCTGAAAACCATAAAGACGCTTCCTCCTTTGTTGAAGTCGGTTAAAACCTGTATTTTCCCACAGCCGCGCGGATGGTCGGTACCGCGCTATGATTGGCAGCGCATCCGACGACCAGTCCCATGAGCAGCGCCCGGGGGACCAAAAGAAGACCTATAAGAACCGCTCCCGGGGTGAGTGACGATCACAATCATCATCATCATCATCATCATCATTATCATCATCATCATCATCATCATCATTATTAGGTATAGCCATAGCACGAGGTCCACCGCCATAAGCAGCGCCCGGTGAACCAAAAAAAGACCTATTAAGAACCGCTCTCAGGGTGAGTGACCGATCATAATAATAATATCATTATCATCACTGTAGCCATAGTCGGTCGATTAGTGCCCTTGTAAAGCCAAATAGGAAAAAACAATGGTCACCCTCATGAATTTCAGCATCAAGTCATTGTTCACTCACAATCATCATCACTATGAACTATGAACTGATCAAAAGACGTGAACTTGGCCTTCGTGAATTTCGATTTATTATTTGCCTAAAAATTATAATACATAATACTATTTTAAATAATTTTCCATAATTCAAAAAACATTGGTTTTCTTGCTATCTAAGATAGTAGAAAATGTTTTATCACTTTCCTTAAAAACTGACTAGCTTACCAAATCCTACAGGAAAATATTGAAAAGAAATCCCCATCTCTACAAGTATTTCCTAAGTGTTTGCAGAGCTCTCGCTCGTCCTAATTAGAGATAAAGTGCGTAGAATGAGGAAAAACCCGGTCTTTAGTATTACATTGACAAGGTAACGGCATTTTGGAGATGTTCGTTTTAAAATGACGCTCGATCAAAGTTACTCGTTGCAGCATTAAGTGTAGTGTACACGCTAGGCGACGCGACAGCGACAGCTCGGTGACTTAAACGCGATGACAAGCTACGGCCGACAATTTGATACAATTTTGTTCAAAGCTTCGCACCCTTGGCATCAGAGTCGCGGAGTCCTGACAACAAGATAAGATATGAAATTGTCTATAATAGGGGTCTAGGGTCGAGCTGTCGCTATCGCGAGTCGCCCAGTGTGCGCTTGCAGCATACGAAGGAATTATACGACCTAGTTCCACCAGCCCCCTTCCATCACTGGGGAACCAGACGCAGGTACGCTAACCTGCGTCCATCCCTACATTGTCGACATTCCACCAGCTCGCACTAAGCGTTTTGACGACTCGTTTATAATGGCTGGGATTGGAATTTGCTGCCTGCTGCTGTATTTCCTGAACACTAGAATCCGGGCGTTTTCAAGGCGAGAGTGAATAGGCACTTACAGGGCAGATATGTACCATCCTAGACTGCATCTCACTTAACACCAGGTGCGATTGCGGTCAAATACCTGCCTTTTTTTACCATAAAAAAAGAATTTACACTTCGAACTAAAGTCATAAAGGAATCACTAAATACGTTTTTTAATTCCTACAGGTAAAATAGACAAAGTGAGAGACGCCCTGTATGGAAACACAGCTACCACGAGCACCAAAGCAGCTCCCAGCTATAATTCGCAAGCCAGAGACATCTACGATGAGAATGAGGTGAGTGACCACAACACACTGAACATAGGTGGAGCGTCATTTTGGAGCATTTTGTAGGTGATGAAGCATTTTGAATGGTAGTTCAGGCGTCATAAGGTGATTGTTATCATTTATCGAAATGGTATAACTTCATTAGGTGATGGTTATGATAGGATGGAAGTCAGGTTTTGCATTTAATTTCATTATTTAAGTTTAAAAATGTAAAATACTCAAGATAATTATCTATATCTTGCTCAACTCGGTTAGACATTTCAGAAAAAAAATATGCCTAAGAATTTTTCTTCTCTCATCATTAGCACACTTATTACATTGAATATCTATGTTCTAAGTATAAGACATAATCAAGACCTCATCGAGTCAAATCAGAAGTTCGTATCTATCTATTTACCTATTCCAAATTATTCATTTATTCTAAACGAGAATTACCTATTTACCTACTCTTTAATGGGGCTAATAATAATTATGATTTGTCTTTTTCTTGTCTGCTGATGCGTCACTGAGTAAAGAACTCGAGCTTCACATTAAAGTAGTAATAAAATACCGCTCAATCTTGTCCCTAAATACCTACCTACTCCAAGAAAGTAATTAGTAGATTATCCATTAAACTAAAACGTTTCTCAGCCCTCGTAAACCTAAGACCTAAACAATGAAATAGATTTAATGTAGCACAAATAACCTAAAGTAAATTTTGCTATTACAGTTTTATTGCCAACGTAAAATCGCTCGTAAAGTTTACAACGCTCATTTCACAATTGAACTTACCATCTATTGGTGTAATTACCGGGATCCGTACTTGAAACATTAATATAATTAAAGGTAAGTACGGTCACTGGCCTTAAATTCAACTTTGCAAAATTACCCGACGACTTGAAATGTTTCGGTGTATAGAATTGGGGCAGACATTTTTAATGTCCTTCTAAAAGGACTTCTCAAAGAAAGTTTGAGATAAATGTAAACTGGGGGTCAAATGCTGGTCATTGGTTTATAAAGGGACAGTCTAAGAGCGCTTTCAATTTCGACGCTTCGTGTCTGATGCCTGCCGCGCGTCTGCCATGCGTTCGCAAGACACAAACTATTGGTAATTGACAATTTTATTCCGACGCAGTTATAATACGATACAACTAGCGGCCGCCCGCGACTTCGTATACGTGGATCCCGTATTACCCCTTAGGGGTTGAATTCTGCAAAATCCCGTTTTAGTGAGTACCTACGTTCTAAAAGGAACTACCATGCAAAATTTGAGGCTCCTAGCACTTTTAGTTTCTGAGATTTCGTGATGAGTGAGTCAGTCAATCAGAGACCGTGTGCGGTCTTGCAACCGCATGGCAAGCGCGCGGCAGGCGTCAGACATGAAGCGTCTAAATTGAAACTGTCGTAAAATGCCCATGTAGCGAGATATTAGAACATTAAAGAAGAACGGTCATCTGTGACCCAGGCCCGACAGAAACGAGACATACCTCAGTTTTNGAAGTCATATTAAGCCTTCTATCCACTTGAGCTTGCTCAGGCGAATGAGCGGCTCATTTCGCCGAGCCGCTGATTCTCCTGAGCATGCTCAAGTGGATAAAAGACTTTAGGGGAGTGAACCAAGTGCTCCAAGACCTATGGTGGCTGCGTGAAGCAGAGAGAGGTATGTCTTTTTCCCCCAATTTCCTTCACCAGGTGACAAGAGGAAGCACGAACACAGTGAGTGGGGTGAAATAGAAAAAGGTCGGTCTTCTCCCAACTTTCTCCAGGTAACAGAGGAGGCACGAACACAGTGGTGGTGCCGAACAGCATGTGTCCCCAGCCTCCCCCGCCGGACCGGCAGTACTGCAACGTGCTGGACTGCCCCGTGCGCTGGCAGACCGGCGAGTGGACCAAGTGCTCCAAGACCTGCGGCGGCGGCCTCAAGCAGAGAGAGGTGGGCTTTTTACAGCTGATGATGATGAGCAGGAGGTTTCTCGAACAACTTAGAACTAAGCGGTCTTCTACTGTAACATAAAGTAGATAGAGAAGGATCTTCTTCCTTGGGGGAAGTTTGTCCTCCTCTCTAGGTAACACTCTTAGATAGTGTCCTAGATCAAAGTATTGTAAGTAAGTCTAAAAACACACACCATTGTGTGTACATATTATTGTGTAGAGGCATTCCTTTACATTCTGTTCTTCACAAAGACCACGCTTGATCTTTGTCATCCCAAAACGGTCTAGTTCTTAATCACATCATCTTACCAGGTGAACTGCAAGAAAGTGTGGTTAGGGAGACCAGCCTTTCTCTAGAGCTCTCGAGATGATCCTCATCCAGCGTCGACCAAGTCCTGCGTTGCCATTATAATTTAACATTTCGTTTCAGCACTTATGTATTGTCCCTAATACTAAGATGTGTAAAAAAACACTTTTTAAAAGTATATTTGCAACAAATATATGACTTTTATGACTTTCCACCAGGTGGACTGCAAGCAAGTGATGGCGCAGTCCCACGTGGTGGAAAGACCGGCCTCTCTCTGCAGCTCTCCTCGACCAGCCTCCACCAAGTCCTGCAACACCAGACCTTGTCTCCTGGACACTGCGTCCCCAGAGATATCTTTGGCCAACTCGTCGTATATACAGCATGATCCGAAGAAGAAAAAGGTATGTACGCTTTCTTGGTCTGATCAAAAAGTCTGGATAGATGTAAGCTTTAGGTGCACACATGATTATCATAAGAGACGACTCCTCGACCAGTTCTTAGTTTAGTGGGAACTTAAAGACTGGCATAGCGCGCTCTAAAATGGGCATAGGTCCAAAGTAAAGAAGACTTTCTTTACTTCGCTCTACCTATAAGTCTATCTTATCGATTCTCAGTCATCAAGATTTGGAGAATCGATCATGATCGTTTCAATATTTTGACTCAAAAGAATTTTCTGCTAGCTGAAGAAATGTCTCCTTCTTTTTCAGACCACACAGTAGAAGTCACATGATTTGAATCCAAATATTATCCTTACACAGCTAGTTGGTGCGACATTAAAATGAAGGGTTTATTGATTTTTCAACAGGTGACAGTAAAAGTGGGGGGTTCAGCGACGATTTTCTATGGGACGCAAGTGAAGATCAAGTGTCCGGTCAAGGGCTACAACAGGACTAAGATCCAATGGGCGAAGGACCACCAGATCATCACCAAGTCGAAGAAGTACAAGATTTCGAAGAAGGTTAGCACACAATAAATATAAAGAACACAATTTAGGCAAAGATTTAGATACCTGATTTTAGTTTAGCTTTTATAGTGCAAAAAAAATACATAATGGAATTCATGGTAATACAATTCACTGGCCCTTTTATTGACCCGAAACAGTGGTAAGGTTAATACTGGGACGTGTAAAAGTGCTTTTTAAAAGCCTATTTGCAAAAATAAATAAGTTTTTATGAGTTTATCATCAGGTTTCCATTGAAGGAATATGCCAATTCACCAGAGCAAAATGGAGGATTTGGACTACATACCCTATAACTCTACTACTAAGTAGGGATATAAAATAGTTATGGAAATAACATTAATTTTCCATCCCTCTCCCACCAGGGTGCTCTCCGCATCACCTCTCTCTCGCTCCGCGACCACGGCGTGTACACGTGCGTAGCGGGACGCTCGAGCGCCAACCTCACGCTGTTGGTCAAGCCACGGCCTGGCGAGTTCCCGTCCAGCGAGGAGATAGAACGGCACAAGGCGCTGGATGAACCCTCGTCCCCTTTAGCTGACAGGTAATGTCATTCTGATGGTCAAACCTCGGTCTTACATGTTTTCTTCCAGGAGATTTAAAACTAAGGTTCTGGACGAACCATTGTCCACTTTAGCTATCCGATAGGTTGTGTGTAATCTCACGCTGCTGGTCGAACCGCGGCCTGGCGAGTTCCCGTCCAGCGAGGAGATAGAACGGCACAAGGCGCTGGATGAACCGTCGTCCCCTTTAGCTGAAAGGTAACGTCATTCTGATGGTCAAGCCACGCCTTAGATGTTTTTTTCTAGGAAAGAAAACTAAGGTTCTGGATGAACTATTGTCCCCTTTAGCTGTCTGGTAGGTTGTGTAACTTCACGCTGTTGGTCGAACCGCGGCCTGGCGAGTTCCCGTCCAGCGAGGAGATAGAACCGTTGTCCCCTTTAGCTGACAGGTAACGTCATGCTGTTGGTCAAACCACAACCGAATATTATTTTTTACAAAACTTAGATGAACCGTTGTTTTATTTAGCTCACGCTATTGGTGAAACCACGGCCAAACAAGTTTTCGTTAGAAAGGTTAATGTTATGAAAAGACGAAGACAGGATTCCCGTCCAATGAGGAGATAGAGGCCGACTAGAGCGCTAGCAAATATAAAACAGATATGGCCAGATCTTCAAAATTTATTTTTTTAAATACCAATAGCCGCTATTAATAATGAGCAGTATTGTTTCCATTGCCACTTTAACTGACCAGAACTGTATGTCCACCAGCCGCGCGGATGGTCGGTACCGCGCTATGATTGGCAGCGCATCCGACGACCAGTCCCATGAGCAGCGCCCGGGGGACCAAAAGAAGACCTATAAGAACCGCTCCCGGGGTGAGTGACGATCACAATCATCATCATCATCATCATCATCACTATGAACTATGAACTGATCATAAGAGGTGAACTTGGCCTTCATGAATTTCGATTTATTATTTGCCTTGAAATTATAATACATAATACTATTTTCAATAATTTTCCATAATTCAAAAAACCTTGGTTTTCTTGCTATCTAAGATAGTAGAAAATGTTTTATCACTTTCCTTAAAAACTTGCCTAGCTTTCCCAAATCCTACAGGAAAATATTGAAAAGAAATCCCCATCTCTACAAGTATTTCCTAAGTGTTTGCAGAGCTCTCGCTCGTCCTAATTAGAGATAAAGTGCGTAGAATGAGGAAAAACCCGGTCTTTAGTATTACATTGACAAGGTAACGGCATTTTGGAGATGTTCGTTTTAAAATGACGCTCGATCGAAGTTAGTCGTTGCAGAATTAAGTGTTGTGTGCACACTAGGCGATGCGACAGCGACAGCTCGGCGACTTAGATGCGACGACAGGCTGCGGCCGACAATTTCATACATTTTGTTCAAAGCTTCGCACCCTTGCGGCCTTGGCATCAGAGTCGCGGAGTCGCGACGACAGTATGAAATTGTCTATAATAGGTGTCTATAGTCCGGTCGCCGAGCACGTAGAAATTCGTGCAATGAACCCAAACTACCCATTCTTATCGCTTGCGTGTAATTATATTGCTGTCGCGACTGTGTGACGGGCGGCCGCAGTGAGTGTGTGAGCGCGACAGTAACATAATTAGGCGCGAGCGATAAGGATGGGTAGGTTGGGGTCATTGGACAAAATTCTACGTGCTCAGAGACCAGGCTTTAGTCGCCGAGCTGTTGCTGTCACGAGTCGCCTAGCGTTTTAGCGCACGCTAGCCTAGCGTTTTTTTTCATATTAAAATTAAATCAATTATTATTTACTCCTACAGGAAAAATAGACAAAGTGAGAGACGCGCTGTATGGAAACACAGCTACCACGAGCACCAAAGCAGCTCCCAGCTATAATTCTCAAGCCAGAGACATCTACGATGAGAATGAGGTGAGTGACCACTACACACTGAACGAACATAGGTGGAGCGTCATTTTGGAGCATTTTGTAGGTGATGAAGCATTTTGAATGCTAGTTCAGGAGTCATAAGGTGATTGTTATCATTTATCAAAATGGTATAACTTCATTAGGTGATGGTTATGATAGGATGGAAGTCAGGTTTTGCATTTAATTTCATTATTTGAGTTTAAAAATGTAAGATACTCAAGATATCTATAATATCTTGCTCAGTTCGCTTAGACATTTCAGAAAAAAAATATGCCTAAGATTTTTTCTTCTCTCATGATTAGCACACTTATTACATTGAATATAGTATAAGACATAATCAAGACCTCATCGAGTCAAATCAGAAGTTCGTATCTATCTATTTACCTATTCAAAAATTTTCATTTCCTATTCTATCTTATCTCTATTTATTCTAAACTAGCGGCCGCCCGCGACTTCGTACTCGTGGATCCCGTTTTACCCCCTTAGGAGTTAAATTTTGCAGTCTTAGTGAGCACCTACGTTCTAAAAGGAACCTCCATGCAAAATTTGAGACTCCTAACACTTGTAGTTTCTGAGATTTTGTGATGAGTGAGTGAGTCAGTTAGTCAATCAGTCAGTGACCTTTCGCTTTTATAGTTAATAGATGAGAATTGACTCTTCAATGGGGCTAATAATATGATTTTCTCTTTTCCTTGTCTTCTGATCCGTCACTGAGTAACGAACTCGAGCTTCACATTAAAGTAGTAATAAAATACCGCTCAATCTTGTCACTAAATACCTACCTACTCCAAGAAAGTAATTAATAGATGATCCATTAAACTCGTTTCTCAGCCCTCGTAAACCTAAGACCTAAACAATGAAATAGATTTAATGTAGCACAAATAACCTAAAGTAAATTTTGCTATTACAGTTTTATTGCCAACGTAAAATCGCTCGTAAAGTTTACAACGCTCATTTCACAATTGAACTTACCATCTATTGGTGTAATTACCGGGATCCGTACTTGAAACATTAATATAATTAAAGGTAAGTACGGTCACTGGCCTTAAATTCAACTTTGCAAAATTACCCGACTTGAAATGTTTCGGTGTATAGAATTGGGGCAGACATTTTTAATGTCCTTCTAAAAGGTCTTCTCAAAGACGTATAAAGTTAGAGAAATGTAAACTGGGGGTCAAAAGCTGGAGTTTTTAAAACTCATTCATTGGTTTATAAAGGGACAGTCTAAGAGCGCTTTCAATTTAGACACTTCGTGTCTGATGCCTGCCGCGCGTCTGCCATGCGTTCGCAAGACACAAACTATTGGTAATTGACAATTTTATCCCGACGCAGTTATTATAATACAACTAGCGGCCGCCCGCGACTTCGTACGCGTGGATCCCGTTTTACCCCCTTAGGGGTTGAAGTCTGCAAAATCCCGTCTTAGTGAGTATTTAGGTACTTTCTAAAAGGAACTCCCATGCAAAATTTGAGACTCCTAGCACTTGTAGTTTCTGAGATTTCGTGATGAGTGAGTCAGTCAATCAGTCACCTTTCGCTTTTATAATAAACTAGCTTTCCGCCCGCGGCTTCGCCCGCGTGGAATTTTGTCTGTCACAGAAAAGCTATATCGCTAGCGCGCTAGCTTTAGCGTGTCCCTGTTTCAAAAACCGGGATAAAAACTATGCTATGTCCTTTTCCGGGACTCAAACTATCTCTATGCCACTGGCATTACTGGTTTAGGCGTAAAAGCAAGACAGACAGACAAACAGACAGAGTTACTTTCGCATTTATAATATTAGTTAGAAGTATAGATATAGATTTACCGTGTGCGGTCTTGCAAACGCATAGCAAGCGCGCGGCAGGCGTCAGACATGAAGCGTCTAAATTGAAACTGTCGTAAAATGCCCATGTAGCGAGATATTAGATCATTAAACTTGCACAGCAGATTTTTATAGATCAAAAAGGTGTTCTATCCCCATAATCTTTTATAGGCACAGATCGTAAAAAATAGACGAACTATAGGTAAGATACTTGACACACTATAGGTGACTATAAAAATTGGTGACAATTTGCAAACTTGATGGACTACTGATTTCGAAATCTATTTCGAGAATTCGTCTAGCAATTATTGCTATATGGTATCAACGACCGAATTCTTGAAAAGCTATAGTTTGTGTCAGCTCAATAGAACTGTTCTACACAAAACCCGTTTGTTCTGTCTATAGAACTAAATGTCTTTGTCTTGCCGATCAAACCTATTGCTTCACTGCTCTCTAGTCAACTAGAGCATACACTGTTGAGGTGGGTTTAGACTAAACGAACTTAGAAGTAAACCGATAACTTTTATTTATAAGTTCAAGTTAAGAAATTGTTTTAACAAATTAGGGACCAGGAAAAGAGAAATTATGTTTCTTGCTTTCTAATTATGAAGGCTGAATGTTTCTTCTTCTAATGTAGATAGTGAATTATCGTTAGTATAGTTATAATAATGAATATTTAATTAACCTTAGTCGTCAATAACAATTAATGAAGCTTTTATGTCTTCTGTGTTGGATTTTTCTGCCCCTTCTATCTTTCTATTATTTGCTTCTATTCACTTATGGCACTGTTTGTCAATTTACATTTTACAAACTGGCTTACGATTCCTGAAACCTTTCTCGTTCGGTCTAAACGCACCTTAAAAGAAAACATGTCACTATCTTAGAACTTGCATCTTCATTGAACATAAAAAGATGCACTTTAGATACGTTCCCTGTTCTAGACTGGGAATTTTATATTGAAGTTTTATCCTGTTCGACACTCTAGAAAAAAGCAAACTTGACTCCACACTATGTAGGTTGAGGATAAAACAATAGATTTTTCCAATCAGATATTGTATAAATGAAAAATAAAACAAATAAGATGTATGACTACCTATCTAGCAATCGGCTCATATTGATAGTAAAATAAGGAAAAAGTTTACAGAAGAATAAAGACACAAATAACCAAAAATATCTTCCACATTCCAAAATGCTCCAACTGAAAGTGACACTTCACCTACGCCACACCGCAGAACCTTCTAACCTGAAATTTTCCAAAACTATAACGTGACAATCTTCGCACGCCGCTTGGGACCTAAGGAGAGTGCTATATCCTCGCAGATACTCCCCCCGAAGCGCAACAGTGCCAACCGACTGCTACCCTGCCTACATTACTTAGTAATGCAATTCCAGGTGAGGAAATTCCGAAATAGAGACTTCTGGGTTACACGTTTCTTCGTATGCGCCGTTTTCGGGATGTTGCTGTACCCATACATCATTTGGGTTTAATTGGTTTACTAATTCTGTTTTAGCACGTTTGGGGACATTTACGTTTTTAATGAATATTATTTGGTTTAACATTTGGTTGTGTATTGATTTGATATCTACTAATTGATTGATTTACGCATGTAATTGAACAAAACCGAACATTGGGGTTTAATTTCTTAATATTGCACTGATTTATTTCGGTTACTACCTACTATCATGGATGTAGTATGGATATTCATCTTCATCAAAATTAACTTGGGACTCAAAATCATTGCATTGCAAGTGTTACCATAAATAGAGCTCATATAATTGATATGGTCAGATGTTTTGGAATTTCCAGACTTTCGGCAACTCCAGGGGACAGAGGATGGTAGACCCCATAATAATGTATCAGAACTACGGCGTTCCTTCCAAAACCAGAGTGATCAATCTCGAAGATAAGCAGATAGTGTTCCCCGAAGATGATGATTCTGATATCATTATAGTCAATGAAGATTACAATAGAAATGATGATTATAATAGAAATACAATTGAAGATACTACATCTCAGGAATTAAAAGAAGTTAATGATATTGAGACAACTACAGATCACAGGTAAGTTATTAAAAGCTTTAAGACCTAAACATAGGAAGATTTTACCACGATTTTTTATAGGGTAAAGTCGCGATGAGGTCGTCGGTCCACCTTGTGGGTGGACGTCACACGCTGCGTGCTAGTACGTGGCCTCCACTCCCGAACCTTGCTCCACAAAGTGGACCGACGACCTCACAAAGGTAGCTAGACGGCGTTGGTTCCAGGCCGCCACCAACCGGGCGATGTGGAAATCATTGGTGGAGGCCTATGTTCAGCAGTGGACGGCTGAAATGATGATGAACATGATAACAGACCGAAATTTGCACAGGAGAGGCCGCGGGCAAAATCTAGTTAAAAATAGAAAAAGTTGTAAATCATCAACGTAGAGAATCCTTAGTTAAAAGCCATAAATGGCCATATCTATCGTCATTTCCTACCAATATGCTAATGCAAAAGCCTTTATTGTCTGGAAGAGATCGCTTCATAGCGATAAGACCGCCTAGTTGTACCTTGTGTGTTCCTTTTCTTTCTGTTCTTATCTTTGGTGTGCAATAAAGTGTATTTATTATTATTATTATTATTATTATTANAAAAGCCTTTATTGCCTGATGGCAGTAACGAGTGCTTATTTACTTAGTATTTTCATAATCCATGTTCCGAGTAACGTTCTATTTCAGAATATCTAGACCCGGTTAAAGGTAATTATAACCTGACCATGGCTCAATTCGGAGAATTCACAAAAGGTCGTAATTTATTACTGGTTATAGTTGATTTTTATTGTATGCTTGATTAAGGTTACAATATGTGATGTGGTTGCCGTGTTAAAGTGGCATTAGAAGGAAAACTGTAATTTCATTCAATCAAAATTAGAGTTGTATATGTTGCCAGTTCAGAATTTAATTCTTAAGTGGGAAACATAAAATAATCAAAAAATAACTCCGTGTGATTCCCCGTTTGGATGAAATATACCAGTAATATGGGAGGACAAGCTTGACTCAATTTATTATGCAAAAACGAAATTTGATTCTATACTTCGGAGGGTATATCAAGCCTCGATTCTGAAGCAATTGAACTCCATTTGAAATTCGATTCTGATTGGGCCACAAATCTGATCAATATTGAGCACATACGATAGATAAAGTAACTTCATACTTCAAAATTCTGGACGCAGTGGTAGGGTTAATACTGGGACGTGTAAAAGTGCTTTAGAAAAGCCTACTTGTAATAAAATTTATCTCTGATTGCCAAAGTTTTGCACATCATTTCTTTCTGTCCTAGGATGAACCAGTACTTGGACGCACACGAGTATGAGTGGATGACCACAGACTGGTCACCATGCAACGCGCCCTGTGGTCAGACTGGCCATGAAGTCAGAGGGGCTGTGTGCCAGGTAAATCATTTACTTATCTTTGGCTGATTTTCCACCAAAGATGTGTCAGAATGTGTAACTTCTTACTTGCATCCGTCGCACACTTACTTCCCTACATAGTACACATCGCAAATACTTATACCTCGCAACATCCTTTGCAAGTTGCAACACATCATTTGCAAAACATCCATCGAGACACGTCTTGTTTTGTCCAAAAGACCTGTGTTGAGCGAAGTGAAACCATTGGTTCTTAACAAACATATCCCTTGCTACGCCGCTCGACATATCTTTGATGGGAAAGCAGCCTGAATATTTCACAACAACTACAATAATCAAAAGCAGTAACTAAAACTATTAACACATCAACAGCACAAGAAGAGCAATTCCACCACCACGGTGGAGACCGACGAGTGCACGTCCCGGGGCATTACACCTCCTACGGTGCTACGTCCTTGTCAGAGCAATAGCTGTGCTAGCTGGAGGACTAGCGCATGGTCACCCATCCGGTGCTTGGCCAGCGGGACTGGTAAGATACTCCAGATTTCTTTACTTAGAATCATAATTATCATCATTTCATTTCCACTGCAAGAGGACGAGCCTCTAATTGATTGGACAAAAAGAGGATTGGCCTATAGTAGGCTTGTTAAAGGGACTTGCTTATTTGCCTTTTCGACATCATGGGAAGAGAAAGAACACAGAGAAAAGTACAAAAATACAAGAAAGATAAAACAATCCTGCGCGTGGTGAATATTTTGGGTATGTAGGTGACACAATGCAGAAGAGGGTATGAAAGACAGTGGTTCCAGCAGGCTAGAATAGGACTACTCTCACTCTTTCCGTGGATGCCGTAAGAGGCGACTAAGAGGCAAAATATGCGAACATTAGGGAGGCCTATAATGTTCCAACGCCTCCTTTGGCCAGCGTTCTAAATGTAAGCCAAATCCTCCATTTGCCTCTTGTAACTAGAAAGGAATTCTCCTGCAGTGGAGACTAAATGACCTGACAATGATAGCTCAAGATCTTGAATTCTATCATCAAAATCCTCTCAACAGCGGTAAGCAGACGCAAAGTGGAGTGTGTGAGCGAGAACGGGACTATACAGGCCGACACCAGCTGTGAGTACAGCGCGCGGCCTGAGAAGACCCGGCGCGAGGCCACGCCCTGCAGGCCGGCCTGGTCTGTCGGGCCTTGGAGCAAGGTAAGGGTTTGAACAACCTTGGTTTGTTTTTAAGTTACTATGGCAAATTAAATTAAAGACTGAGGATGTTCTAGACCCGCGGCCAGGCACATTTAAATACTCACATTGACTGATATAATATTATTATTATTTACGAGCGCTTAAAGTGTTTTTTGGAAGTCCTTGTGGGACTTGTCTTTGGGAGGTCTTTTTCTGCAAACGTCTTTCGATTGAAAATTTCTTTGCAGAGCATACTAAGCGCAGCTTATGGTCCTATGTCCCCTAGATGGGGCAGAGAGCGTCCTCAACAGTCCTCCATCTCGTTCGGTCTTGAGCTTCTCGCTTGATTTCGCTCCAGGTCTTGCCGATCTTCTTCGCCTCGTCCGCCAAGTTTGCCTGGGTCGACCACGTTTGCGTTTTCCTTGGGGATTCCAATCCAGAGCCTGCTTAGGAATGTGATCGGGTTCCCTTCGGAGAGTGTGGCCAATCCAGTTCCACTTGCGGCGCTTGATCTGCTGGTCGATCGGAATTTCGTGGCAGCGTTCCAATAGCTCGACGTTGCGATACTAAGCGCAAGCGTAGGCCAAGTTTATTTATGAAGATTCTCCTCCTTTGATAAATCCCACCAACCACGCTTGGCTGCATGAGATTGAATCTCCACAACGACCATGGCCATCAAGCTCGTGGTTATTGTGGCAAATCGTGAGAATTGCTCGCTTTTCCGATTGCCAAACAACATGCCCTTAGTGACTTGTTGCGTCTTTCTCCCTAATCTTTGTTATCTAGTCCTGCAAGGTTGCTGGTATTTTAAAACAACCCACTACATATTTTTATTATTATTTTATCCCAGTGCGTAGGCGCATGCGGCAGCCCAGGCCGCCAGCACCGCGTGCTTCGCTGCGTGTGGCGCGCGCGCACCCGCCGCGGAAAGGAGCGCGGGGCGGGGGCGGCGTGCGCGCGCATGCGGCGGCCATTAGTAGCACGCGCTTGTGACGTGCACGCGTGCGTCAATAAAGGTAAGGGGTGTTCACATAGAAAGTCCTTACAGGTTTGTTTTTAGTGTATTCACTACGTAGTAACAACTAAGATAGGGGCGCCAACTGGTGAGTGTGCAATGGGCAAGGAGTGCGGGGCGGGGGCAGCGTGCACGCGCATGCGACGGCCGCTCGTAGCACGCGCTTGTGACGTGCACGCGTGCTTCAATAAAGGTAACCTTTGAAAATCAGACCAGATTTGATCACAGCGTCATTCACTCATCATCTTACTACCTCATCATCTTCCTTCGGAATCTACATCCACGATTTCACCCACGTAAAATCTGAAAATAACTCAGAGTTCAAATTTTCAGCGTGCCACTAAGTGCCTCTGAACTGTCAAATAATTGCAAAAACGGTTCTGTTTGACGTGACGGCGACGGCATCACGCATCTCTTTTTATCACACAGTGTTGCTGCTAATTACATCTCGCTCGCTCTATTCTTTGTTGCTCTATTCCGCTAGGTATATTAACTTTATTATTTAAACAGACAAACGAGGAGCTGTATCCGTCTCTATAATCGACGTGAACATGACCGTGGAAGAGAAAAATAAAAGAAAGATATTTTTTGTGACTTGTATCGGAATAACGTGCTTGCAATCGGAGTCATTGCAGCTGCTTAGAAGTTTATGCGAGGATGAAACGCGAGCTTAGATTCTAGACTACATTCGATCTATGCTCATTAGTCAATTAGGGCCTTATCAAATGTACCGCGTGCTTCGCGGAAAGGAGCGCGGGGCGGGGGCAGCGTGCACGCGCATGCGGCGGCCATTAGTAGCACGCGCTTGTGACGTGCACGCGTGCGTCACCAAAGGTAAGGGGTGTTCACATAGAAAGTCCTTACAGGTTTGTTTTTAGTGTATTCACTACGTAGTAACAACTAAGATAGGGGCGCCAACTGGTGAGTGTGCAATGGGCAAGGAGTGCGGGGCGGGGGCAGCGTGCACGCGCATGCGACGGCCGCTCGTAGCACGCGCTTGTGACGTGCACGCGTGCTTCAATAAAGGTAACCTTTGAAAATCAGACCAGATTTGATCACAGCGTCATTCACTCATCATCTTACTACCTCATCATCTTCCTTCGGAATCTACATCCACGATTTCACCCACGTAAAATCTGAAAATAACTCAGAGTTCAAATTTTCAGCGTGCCACTAAGTGCCTCTGAACTGTCAAATAATTGCAAAAACGGTTCTGTTTGACGTGACGGCGACGGCATCACGCATCTCTTTTTATCACACAGTGTTGCTGCTAATTACATCTCGCTCGCTCTNCTGCCTAGCTCGCATAAATATTTATAACTTTGTACATTTTAAAGCATGTAAACCTTTGAAAAAGAGGCTGACAATAGTGACTGAGTTTCTTACGCTGCTTCTTCTCAGCACTGGCCCATTTATTGTCCTGAAGCAGTGGTAGGGTTAATACTGGGACGTGTAAAAGTGCTTTTTTTAAGCCTATTTACAGAAATAAATGAGTTTTAATGAGAGGTTTTTAATGATTTTTAAATGTAAGCCAAATACTCCATTTACTCTGGTAACATCCTTCCTCGTTCCTCGTTGTGGATAAAAAGAAACTAAAAAATCTAAAAGGAGTCGTTCTTCTGCGGTGAAGACTAAATGACATGACGATGTTGATGACAGTTCAAGGTCTTGCATTTTATCATCAAATTCCTCTCAACAGCGGTAAGCAGACGCAAAGTGGAGTGTGTGAGCGAGAACGGGACTATACAGGCCGACACCAGCTGTGAGTACAGCGCGCGGCCTGAGAAGACCCGGCGAGAGGCCACGCCCTGCAGGCCGGCCTGGTCTGTCGGGCCTTGGAGCAAGGTAAGGGTTTGAACAACCTTGGTTTGTTTTTAAAGTTACTATAGCTTATGAAAGGAAAGACTTCTATGGCCCTTGAATGTCTAGTAATATTTAAAACATTTTTGGACGTTCTTGTGGGAGGTTTTTATGCAATAGTGAACGTCTTCCGATTGAACTAGCGTTGAGAGAGCAGGAATATACCAAGCACAAAACAAAAATGTGCGTTTATGAACCAACCGCGCATGGCCATACCAAAGACAAAGCTGCAGGACAAAGACATCCCCCAAGGATTTCCATAACAACTTCGGCCATACCAAGATAGAAGATAATGTAGCTGAATCATGAGAAATGCATGCGGATTTTGTATCTGCCAAGTATCGTGCACTCCATGGACATCTCTACTATTTCCATATCAACCATAAATGGTCATACCTAGCCGAGTGAAGGGAACTGCGGCTGCCTTTGTCAGATTGATCTCTACCTCCTTCACTTCCTACAAATTATTTACTTTATGAGCAGTAGACCTAACTGACTGAGTTTCTGCCGCCACTTCTCAGCACCAGCCCATATGTCGTCCCGAAGTGGTGGTAGGGCAAGCTATATTCGGGACTTGTATAAGTGCCCTGGAAAGGCCATAGCCACGATAGCCGAACGGTGAAGGGGTCGGACTGGCCGACTCGAGATCCGAGGAACGCGGGTTCGAATCCCACCGCCGCTCGACTGTTGTGGTGAGCCTTTCGTAACACAAGCTTATTTAGCTTACCACGAGAGGCTAACGTAATTTGTGTAATACAAAATCAAAATCAAAAGTATTTATTCAGTTTAGACCAGAAGTGGCACTTATGAACGTCAAAATATTATTATAGAAAATAATAAAAAAAAGAAAAGGTAGCCCTTATGGGGCACTTTACATGTCTCCTTATCTTTTGGGCCCTACCAGCGCTTCGAGACAAACATATGGCAAGTGCTGAGAAGAAACGCCGGAACAAACTCAGTCACCACTAATTATCTAACGGTGGGAATAACCAAATTCGAGTAGGTACATCAAATATGTGCAGACTGAACTGACCACGCATCCTTGTCATCAATATAGTCTCGAACCTTGTAGTACCCTTTGGACATAAGGGTATTTTTTATATGTATCTTAAATTTGTTTATTGGCAATTCGACAAGGTTGTGTGGTATTTTGTTAAATATGGTAATACATTTCCCCAAGAATGAATTACCTATTTTATGCAACCTAAAAGATGGAATATACAAATTGCTAATAATATTTTTAAAGATTAAAAAAGGGCCTATACTGAATTTGAATTTGAATCGTGTTTGTATCGTAGTGCGTAGGCGCATGCGGCAGCCCAGGCCGCCAGCACCGCGTGCTTCGCTGCGTGTGGCGCGCGCGCACCCGCCGCGGCAAAGAGCGCGGGGCGGGGGCGGCATGCGCGCGCATGCGGCGGCCGCTCGTAGCACGCGCTTGTGACGTGCACGCGTGTGTCAATAAAGGTAAGGACTGGTTTCCCAAACATTGTTTTAATACTCTACAAAAGATGGTGGAGGCTTGGCCCAGGCCAAGCAGTTTGCGGCCATTGCACAGTCATTGTCTCCCGGCCAAGCTAAGCTCTAATGAGACGCGCGCATGCGGCGGCCGCTAAGTAGCACGCGCTTGTGACGTGCACGCGTGCATCAACAAAGGTAAGGGCGTGTTCACATAGAAAGTCCTTACAGGTTTGTTTTTAATGTATGTAATGTATGTATGTTGCTGTCGCGCTCGCACACTCACTGCGGGCGCCCGTCGCACAGTCGCGACAGCAATATAATTACGCGCGAGCGATAAGGATGGGTAGCTTGGGGTCATTGGACAAAATTCTACGTACTCACGGACCAGGCTTTAGTGAACCCAATGGTTAATTTTCTGGCCAAGCAGTTTGCGGCAATTGCACAGTCATTGTCTCCCGGCCAAGCTAATATCTAATGAGACGCGCGCAAGCGCCGGCCGCTAAGTATCACGCGCTTGTGATGTGCACGCGTGCGTTACCAAAGGTAAGGGGTGTTCACATAGAAAGTCCTTACAGGTTTGTTTTTAATGTATGCTCAGCCTGGTCCGTGAGCACGTAGAATCCCGTCCAATGACCCCAAGCTACCCATCCTTATCGCTCGCGCGTAATCAGGTTGCTGTCGCGCTCGCACACTCACTGCGGGCGCCCGTCGCACAGTCGCGACAGCAATATAATTACGGGCGAGCGATAAGGATGGGTAGCTTGGGGTCATTGGACAAAATTCTACGTACTCACGGACCAGGCTTTAGTGAACCCAATGGTTAATTTTCTGGCCAAGCAGTTTGCGACAATTGCACAGTCATTGTCTCCCGGCCAAGCTAAGATCTAATGAGACGCGCGCAAGCGCCGGCCGCTAAGTATCACGCGCTTGTGATGTGCACGCGTGCGTTACCAAAGGTAAGGGGTGTTCACATAGAAAGTCCTTACAGGTTTGTTTTTAATGTATGCTCAGCCTGGTCCGTGAGCACGTAGAATCCCGTCCAATGACCCCAAGCTACCCATCCTTATCGCTCGCGCGTAATTATATTGCTGTCGCGACTGTGCGACGCGCGCCCGCAGTGAGTGTGCGAGCGCGACAGCAACATAATTGCGTGCGAGCGACAAGGATGGGCAGCTTGAGGTCATTGGACGGGATTCTACGTGCTCACGGACCAGGCTTTAGAACGCTTACCAGCGTTCAAGTTTGCGGCAAGGAGCGTGGGGCGGGGGCAACCTGCGCGCGCATGCGGCGGCCGCTCGTAGCACGCGCTTGTGACGTGCACTCGTGCGTTACCAAAGGTAAGGGGTGTTCACATAGAAAGTCCTTACAGGTTTGTTTTTAATGTATGTAGAACGCTTACTAGCGTTCAAGTTTCACGGCAAGGAGCGCGGGGCGGGGGCGGCCTGCGCGCGCATGCGGCGGCCGCTCGTAGCACGCGCTTGTGACGTGCACGCGTGCGTCAATAAAGGTAATTTTAAGGTCAGACCGCGCTAGAACCGAATGGCATTAAGCTCATGCTAAAGCCTGGTCCGTGAGCACGTAGAATTTTGTCCAATAACCCCAAGCTACCCATCCTTATCGCTCGCGCGTAATTAGGTTGCTGTCGCGCTCGCACACTCACTGCGGGCGCCCGTCGCACAGTCGCGACAGCAATATAATTACGCGCGAGCGATAAGGATGGGTAGCTTGGGGTCATTGGACAAAATTCTACATACTCACGGCCAGGCTTTAGTGAACCCAATGGTTAATTTTCTGGCCAAGCAGTTTGCGGCAATTGCACAGTCATTGTCTCCCGGCCAAGCTAAGCTCTAATGAGACGTGCGCGCGCATGCGGCGGCCGCTCGTAGCACGCGCTTGTGACGTGCACGCGTGCGTTACCAAAGGTAAGGGGTGTTCACATAGAAAGTCCTTACAGGTTTGTTTTTAATGTATTTATAATGGCGCCAACTGATGAGCGTTCAAGTTTCACTGCAAGGAGCGCGGGGCGGGGGCGGCGTGCGCGCGCATGCGGCGGCCGCTCGTAGCACGCGCTTGTGACGTGCACGCGTGCGTTACCAAAGGTTCTTTTCTCTCCTCGGTCCTCCATCTCACCATTTCCCCCATTTTAAATGATTTTGTAGTCTAGTGGTAAGACGACTTTCCTGAGACCCAGAATAATTAAGAAGACTAGATTTTGTTCTAAATTCGCCTTTTTTGACGTGGAGGAAATTCTTTGCGTACCGTCACCGCAGCGGCTGCTGGAGAGCAGGGTAGTGTGTGGGACTCCCGGCCCCCTAAGAAAGGCGCTACTCCATCCTGACAAAGATGGGAATTATCCACTAAAAGTTCTACGTCCGCCTGGCTAGCAACCACCATCTTAAAGTCTATTTCCGTCAACAACGCTAACAGCATTGTTGTGTTTTGATAATGGACGTAAGAGAAGGGAGAAAAAGAGCCAGTTCCAATATGGTGGAGGCTTCATGTAAGGCTCGTTTCCACCCTAGGCCTGATCATCAATTTCCATTAATGATACATTCTAAATCTAGTTTTATATTATTAATCCTCTCATAAACTTCAATCCATTGCAATAACTCCGATCGCAATGCGCATTACTCCGATACAAGTCTCATTAGAGTTGGCCAACACCTTTGTCCAGCAGGACAATGGTTTTGTTCAACGAACTTTATTTTGCCTGAAAGGAGCGCGGAACAATCTCGCAAACTGTACCGTTGGCAGAAACGTTTACAGTATTTTTAAAACACTTTTTTTGGCCGTATGATTTTGGCAAAATAGTAGTAGGAGTTACTCAGTTAGAAAAGGTCGTGCTCAATACTCAATTTTCAATCGTTTATTGCATAACCACATTAGCTCCTGCAACGGTAACTAAATTCTCTGATGATGAATTTTAAGAATTTAAAAAAAATACAGTAATGATCACGACTCTACAAATTGACTAGGATAAACATAGACACTTCAAAGATTAAAAAACGTTTTGGGATCTCTCAGTCACTAGCTCTATCTTTTTATAATAATGAGATAATTATAATGTAATTCTTAATCCAGGAATAGTCCTAGACTCATAAGAGTCTATTATTTAATTATTATTTTTCATTGGGACATCATTGTTTCCTTAACATCTACCAACGAGAAAACATGTTTTTGCTGACCTTACCTAATTTTTCCCTTTCATTTCCTTAGACGGGGTGTGCCGAGACACATCGCGATACTGCGAGAATGTGCGCGCCATGAACATGTGTGCCCTCCGGCGCTACAAGGAGCAATGTTGCAAAACTTGCACGGAATAAAACTACCCGCAATGAACTCTAAGTCAAAGGAGCAAGGGTGAGTTTGCAATACATTCCGTGGTAAGACGCAAGGGAAAATGGACTGTTAAGGAATTGCAATTGAGTTTTGTGCAGCGTGACGTGATATAGTGTTCAAGTGATCTGGAGTGTCTGATGATTTTAAATTCGGATTGGGATCGTTTATTCTATGGTGAGTTTATACTAGAGCGTTTCTATGTAATGTAATCTTACGAATGGTACTATACAGATAAATGGTAGGTACTACGTTTCATTCATGAAACGATGACACAAACTGATACTAGAACATTTTCATACAGCGACTCATTGTTCTGTTACAAGTGAATGCTCTAGTCCACATTCACCTTTATGTTTGACGTGATATAATTCAGTAGCAAAAGTTTGAATTTGAAACTTAAATAAAACTAGATAGAGGCTATTTTTGAATGGGAACCATAAACGATTCCAATAAAGATCTGAGGATTAGATTAATAATTTCATTGTTTTATGTTTGTGTTGAAATTGATGGAAATAGATCAATATTTTCTAGACTTCATTTTTTTTTTCAANAGAAGTTTGAAATAAAAATTTTAACATTGAACATGCCACGATTATTCTCGTAAACAAATTTCCGGGAATAACGATTCAATATCCATAGTGCTTTTGGTAAATCAGCCAGTTTCAAAGATAAAATTCTAAAAAAAAATCACAAGGTGTATAGGGACCCCCAGATTACGAAAATCGCTTAATCGGAAAACTGCTGCTATGGCTATTGCGGCTTTATTCCAGGCACCCATCGATATCAATTTGTTAATATAGCAATTATGAGGTGCAGTATTAAAATTATGGTAATATTAGAAAAATATTATTATTATATTCACGATTTATTGTCAATTGTTAGTTGCATAAATTTTAGGATCAAGCTACACCGATAATTTTTTTGTTTTTTAATGTAAGAATACAGTTTACTACCATTTAATTTGAATCCAATTTCCCTTTTTTAAAGTCCAGAGATACGGTATTAGATAAAATATTCGCTGTTATAAATAAATTACATTTTACTATCACAGAAAAAAACACAATATTACATTTTAACTTGGTCCGAATACAGAGACAAATCTGTTTTCCAAATATTATTTAAGCTATTAAGAACTAACGTGTATGATCGAGTGACATGCAATAGTCAGAAGATAGCTTCAAATAAATATCTTAACACGACTGACTGATATGTGGCTAGATTCTAATACATACCACTGTGTACATAACAAATTCAAAGGCCAGTACATAACTAAATAACACTTACTAAATATAGCGTAAAATATTGCAAATTCTGCTTTATTTTAGTTAGAAAACTTGGGTGTTTCAGAAGATGAAATATAAATTATAGTTATAAATAATATTCTAATGATTTCAAATGTATCTGAAATAAATGTTCCATATCAAATTCAACTGCCATTCTTGAATATATGAATATAAAGCTTTGCTTTTGTGAAACGATATTTATGTTATCTGTTAACATATTTACAAATATACCAACATAAGCTCAAATATTATTAGTTTAACTAAATCTTTGTCTTTGGATAGGTAAATAACTAATCAAATATTTGTTGATCAACAGATTTTTGTTGAAACTGAAATAAATGCTTTGCGTTTTAATATTATTATACAAAATACGACTAAGGCATATTTGTCAAAGTATTGGATTTTTGGAATTTTCAAACCGCTGATTTTCTCTTCCTTTACTCGTGTATCTCTCTATATTGTTGTAATAGATATCGCAAATATATTATAAGACCCAGAGAGTTGAACCCTAAATGAAATTGTACATTGTACCAAGATTTTCAAATATAAAATATATAAAGTAAGTTACTGAATGTAAATTGTTTCATTTTCTACCTTGTTTCATACGTGGTTACGTTTTGGCGTTACTTACTTTAACCTCCTGGGGCCTGGCGTCATATATTTATTACATAAAACAAAAAAATATAAATCAACGCTATCTGTTGAACCAGAACTTTTACGTTAGTTAGTTAGATGGTGCATCTGTTCATCAATCTTAGCTGTGATTGGCTAGTGAAGTGACATTTATATTTTTTTATCTTTAATTGAACTAGCGACGGCGCCGCGACCGGGAACAAGTGGTTAGTAATAATGAAATTTTTACTAAAATATGAACGATTTCTATAAGCCTTTGTTATTATTCGTTTTGGGATTTGAACTGTTTAATTATCTGAGTATCACTGATTGTGGAAATACATATGAAAACTACGAAAACCATGGTGAAATCTGAATGTCATACAGGTATTACATGAGGTCCCAATTGCTAGTGTAAACTGACAGAGCCCAGTGTAATACCTGTATAACATTGTACATTTTCTATTAAATAGCATACAATCTGATATTATTTTCTTATTTGTTTAGGTAGATATATGCGAATATAACATATTAGAACACTCAAAACTCGATTTTACTGGTAAAGTCGGCCCAGAAGTATTATCAACACCTCAAGTCACTTTGATTTTTATTTATGAAATTAAAATAATTTCATTAGGCACTTTGTTTTTTAATTTTTTTATTGCTATTGACCTTATCTACATCACTATGTTAATTACACATTGGTGTGATGCATTTTTTTATCACGAGGATTTTTTAATTTGAGTCATCCATATGAAATGCAATAAAATTTTGAAATACTATTAAAAAAAAAATAGAGATGCAATGTTATTGCCAAAAAATGACATAAAACTTGATAAAGAATCTACCTAGCTACATTTTAACGAAAAGGTACTTAAAAAATATCAATATTTGCATCCACTGCATAGAAAAAAGTAAGTACAGGCAGAAAAAAATTTAAAAATATGTAAAAAAAAAATTGTCGTCTCAATATATTTCAAAAATCGATTCAACTTCGTTGTAGATAGTCAAGAAACTTAACTAGGAATTACTTTTGTGCAATTTATTACGGGACACCTGTACATGAAATAAAAAAGTCGTTGACATTGGGAACCGATGTCGTAAATATATGACATTGAGAAAATTGCCGTTTTCCAGATAAAATTTTTTATTTTATTTTTTAAGATAATTATATCAATTATTAATACTATTTGGATAATTTTCATATGAATTCACGATAAAAATAATTCCCGGGCCCCAGGAGGTTAAATTAATATTTTCAGGTAAGTAGCTGAAAATATAGTATTCCTACATATAACTCCGTGTACCTAGTGATTAGAGAATTAAATTTTCTCGACCCTGGGTTCAAGTCCCAGAAGAAAATCTTATTGACTTGTTTGTAACTAATTTGATAACATTTGGTTATTTTTAATTACAAACTTACCACCTTATCCATCTGTATTTAAATAAATAAATAATAGAATCAATAGTACCTAAATAAAACAACAACCTTGGTGTCTGACATGTCTCTATAAATGTCTGAAAGGTACACACGGCCAACCTGTTTACTATCCATTTCCGTTTTTGCTCTCGCTCTCATCAAATGGTGATTCTTTGCGATAGAACGAGATGACAGGACTGGCGATGGGCAGTTAACACTGTTGCCTATAGTACGTTAAAACGTTTAAAGAAGCTGAAGCACGGAACATTTCCAGATAAAGAAATAAAAAACAAAAAAATCACCGAAAAAAAAGAAAATCAAACCTTTTGCTGTCGTGATCCCTCCAGCGTGCATAGCCAAGCCACTAGCACTCATTAGTATGTATGAGCCAATCTCGGGTGTTGCACAAATGGATTTAAAAGATACAGCAATGCAAAATTTTATTGAGATTGCATGCAACGTCACAACGGCAGAATGAAACCTCTTTGTTTGATTATTAAAACCATTAATATTGTGAATATTATCTTTCCTTGGCAAGTAATGTAGGTATCTAATGAAAGAAGAAAGAAATGTGTATAAGATAGGTACTGTCGTATCTTTTGTAAATTTCTTTAAAAAATGACAAAAAAGGAAAAGAAAGGAAAACTAAAAACATATTTTTTAGTGTAGCTAGCTAAGATCCGCCAGATAAAATGTGTCAAAAAAGGGTTACCTACGTGAATTAGAATTTATCCCTCGAGGACTCACTAAAGCATATCAAAATATGTAGTAGGTATATTCGTTCGTTCTTTTCAGCCAATTGACGTCCACTGCTGGACAAAGGCCTCCTCCAAGGTTTTCCACAATGAACGGTCCTGCGCTGCCCGCATCCAGGCTCTTCCCGCGACCTTTACCAGATCTTCGGTCCACCTAGTAGGAGGCCTGCCCACACTACGTCTATTAAAGAGACATCCTAAGTGAAAAAATTAAAGTTTTAAGTGACACTATATACAGTTGTGTAGACAATTAAGCAAGCTATACAGTGGTGCAAAAAGTGTATCAAAATGTGAAACGGTTCTCAATCTACGAGCAAAAACATTTCAAAAACTTAAATTCTCAACGGAACGGTCTATTTACATTACTCATCGNTACCTATACGCCGAAAAAAGATTTGTTCAAATCGGTTCATAATTGGCGGAGTTATCGCGTAACAAACATAGAAAAAAAAAACATACGGGTCGAATTGATAACCTCCTCCTTTTTTGAAGTCGGTTGAAAAATAAAAGAAAGATAATTTTTGTGACTTGTATCGGAATAACGTGCTTGCAATCGGAGTCATTGCAGCTGCTTAGAAGTTTATGCGAGGATGAAACGCGAGCTTAGATTCTAGCCTACATTCGATCTATGCTCATTAGTCAATTAGGGCCTTATCAAATGTACCGCGTGCTTCGCTGCGTGTGGCGCGCGCGCACCCGCCGCGGAAAGGAGCGCGGGGCGGGGGCGGCGTGCGCGCGCATGCGGCGGCCATTAGTAGCACGCGCTTGTGACGTGCACGCGTGCGTCAATAAAGGTAAGGGGTGTTCACATAGAAAGTCCTTACAGGTTTGTTTTTAGTGTATTCACTACGTAGTAACAACTAAGATAGGGGCGCCAACTGGTGAGTGTGCAATGGGCAAGGAGTGCGGGGCGGGGGCAGCGTGCACGCGCATGCGACGGCCGCTCGTAGCACGCGCTTGTGACGTGCACGCGTGCTTCAATAAAGGTAAGGGCGTGTGTTTCTTAAAAATTGTTCAAAGTTTAAACGATAAAGTTCTTATTCCTTCGGAATCTACATCCACGATTTCATTCACGTAAAATCTGAAAATAACTCAGAGTTCAAATTTTCAGCGTGCCACTAAGTGCCTCTGAACTGTCAAATAGTTGCAAAATAAGGTAAGGGCGTGTTCACATAGAAAGTCCTTACAGGTTTGTTTTTAATGTATGTAGAACGCTTACCAGCATTCAAGTTTCGCGGCAAGGAGCGCGGGGCGGGGGCGGCCTGCGTGCGCATGCGGCGGCCGCTAGTAGCACACGCATGTGACATGCACGCGTGCGTCAATAAAGGTAATCATCATCATCATTTCAGTCACGGGATGTCCACTGCCAAACTTAAAACTCCCCCAATGATTTTCAAATTGACCGGTTGGTAGCTGCATCCAGAGTCTTAGAAAAGTAATACGTAATAAGAGCCTTAGTAAGTATACATGTACAATCATCTTTTTTCCCCGTCTACCTATTTCCTCCATTATTACTCCGATTACTGGTATTGCTAACAGTTCCGCCAGCAATCCTTTTTGGTACAAGGTAACGCCTAAAGGCCATAATTAAGAAGACTGAAGATTCCACGTAGGGCAAAACCTGCCGCGGAGGACATACTGTGGAGGATGTGGTATTCCCGGCACCCGAAAAGTAGAATGGTATCTCCCCTAAAAGTACCTACGTCCGCATAGTAGCAATGCTAATAGAATTGTTATGTTTTGACAATGGTGGTAAGACAGAGAGGAAGACTACCAATTCCTGTGTGGTGGAAGCTAACTTCCACCTTCAGCCTGATCATCCTTTCCATTAATGATACAGCCTTTAGATCCAATAACTCCGATTGCAACGCGCATTACTCGATACAAGTCTCATTAGAGTTGGCCAACACCTTTGTCCAGCAGGACAATGGTTTTGTTCAACGAACTTTATTTTGCCTGAAAGGAGCGCGGAACAATCTCGCAAACTGTACCGTTGGCAGAAAAAGTTTACAGTATTTTTGGAACACTTTTTTTGTGGTTTCAAAATCTTCCCGTGGATGTTGTTAGAGCCAAATATGTGAACATAATTAATAATTAGGTCAATGGATGGTCATGCTCTTGAAATGGATATTAAATTATCTGATGGTGATAATGATTTTTAGGATTTTTAATACAGATAATGATTACGAGTCTACAAAATTAAAAGGCACCTAGGCTCTGCGTAGTCACTTCAAAGATGAAAGCTTTTACTATATTAATTTAGTCCCTACCATTTTTTCTATTAATTTATCTATGTAACTCTCAGATCCAGGATAGTCCTAGACTCATAAGAGTCTATTATTTAATTATTATTTCTTATTGGGACATTATTGTTTTCTTTTCATCTACCAAAGAAAAAAACCTGTTTTTTTGCTGTCCTTACCTAATTTTTCCCTTTCATTTCCTTAGACGGGGTGTGCAGAGACACATCGCGATACTGCGAGAATGTGCGCGCCATGAACATGTGTGCCCTCCGGCGCTACAAGGAGCAATGTTGCAAAACTTGCACGGAATAAAACTACCCGCAATGAACTCTAAGTCAAAGGTGCAAGGGTGAGTTTGCAATACATTCCGTGGTAAGACGCAAGGGAAAATGGACTGTTAAGGAATTGCAATTGAGTTTTGTGCGGCATGACGTGATATAGTGTTCAAGTGATCTGGAGTGTCTGATGATTTTAAATTCGGATTGGGATCGTTTATTATAAGGTGAGTTTATACTAGAGCGTTTCTATGTAATGTGATCTTACGAATGGTACTATACAGATAAATGGTATGGTGGTGAAACGGTGACACTGAAACTGATACTAGAACATTTTCATACAGCGGCTCATTGTTCTGTTACAAATAAATGCTCTAGTCTACATTCACCTTTATGTTTGACGTGATATAATTCAGTAGCAAAAGTTTGAATTTGAAACTTAAATAAAACTAGATAGAGGCTATTTTTGAATGGGAACCATAAACGATTCCAATAAAGATCTGAGGATTAGATTAATAATTTCATTGTTTTATGTTTGTGTTGAAATTTATGGAAATAGATCAATATTTTCTAGACTTCATTTTTTTTTCAGTCGAAGTATCAAGTTTGATCGTGAATGAGACATTTAAAATTAAAACTAATCGCACCATAGTTTTTAAGTAACTTTTTTGTTTAAATTGACTCAAACGCTACTGTAAGCTTTTTGTTTGTTTTTATTTCAAAACTTTATTAATCTGTTTCCATTGATTATTCCGCATTTTTCATTCCATCTAAACTTTATTTAATTTTTACACTAAACAAAATATTTTTACTATAAAGAGGTGTGTGTGTATCTGTGAGTGTTTTGTTTAATATTTAAGAAAAACAAATCGATTGAGTGTGAACACCTCCTAACTGACATAAAGGTTATATTGGAATTTGAATTTTAATCATTGTGTATTAAGATTCAACATGGTAGACAATGTTAGATAGGAGGTATTCATATTATTATAAAACTAGCTCTAGTCGTTACACATAATGTAAAAGGGACCTACGATATAAAGGTCATACAAATGGAAAAGAAAATAATATTTAACACCGCAAAATATGGAAATTGTCCTCGAATTGATTTAAATATAAGTAGGAATCAAAATATTTAGTAAAATGTTTTGTACTATACACTAAAGTTATAAATATATATTGTAAATAAAATATTATTATAATATAACAAATTGTGCACAGTGCGCTCTGCTTAGTTTTATAATATGTAACTTAAATTAAAGAGTTTGCACAGATTATAGTTAAATGCAATGAATGTATAGAAGTTGTAGTGAAATTGCCAAAAATGCAAACTAAGTGAAAATGTAAACTTATTCGAATAACGCGAATCTAAATTATACATAATTATAATTGTCAATTTAGTAAAATACATATAAAATACACATTTTCCCGGCTATCGTAGATAGTCGTATANACTACAAGCCCGGACACACTGTATATATATAGAAAATTGTATGTATATTCGATTATATAAACGTAGTTATAATTGAATTTAATAAAATAAAAATAACGTTATCTCTAAATTATGAAGCAATACAGTTCGCTTGGAAAATAAATTGTATATAAATGCATTATAGAATAAAGTGCATTGGTATGAACTATTCATGGAATAGAAAATTCAAATCAATTGTAATTTTATTTGAATTTATTTTATTTCAAATTTGAATTAACGGTTTATATCAATTTGTTAACATAGCAATTATGAGGTGCAGTATTAAAATTATGGTAATATTAGAAAAATATTATTGTTATATTCACGATTTATTGTCAATTGTTAGATGCATAAATTTTAGGATCAAGCTACACCGATAAATCTTTTGTTTTTGGATGTTAAAATACAGTTTACTACCATTTAATTCGAATCCAATTTCCCTTTTTTAAAGTCCAAAGATACGGTATTAGAAAAAATATTCGCTGTTATAAATAAATTACATTTTACTATCACAGAAAAAAACTCAATATTACATTTTAACTTGGTCCGAATACAGAGACTATTGCTTTTATTTAACTTTACAACTCTAAATTCTAACAAAAAAACAGTTCGAATTGTTTGTTTAAACTTCTGCACTAAATTTGAACAAAACCTGATGCACCTTTTTGTCAAAAAAACGTTAAAGGGATAGAAAAGGAAATTTTACAAAATCTGTATGAAAAGTCTGTTTTCCAAATATTATTTAAGCTATCAAGAACTAATATGTATGATCGAGTGACATATGTACAATAGTCAGAAGCTAGCTTCAAATAAATATCTTAACACGACTGACTGATATGTGGCTAGATTCTAATACATACCACTGTGTACATAACAAATTCAAAGGCCAGTACATAACTAAATAACATTTACTTAATACAGGGTGGAAACGATAAGTGATCTCATTCGATTATTTCTAAACTATACAAGATATTGAAAAACTGGTTACAGATCCTGAAAGTGCTTCACGAGCTCTTTCAAGCGGTACCATTAATAGGTTACAGAATAAACTGGAACTATCCGAAAATTCAATGTTACTAGCTTCTATACTAAGTATATGCCAACCACACAATATTAGAAGTATTATTATTTTTTGTTAAATAATAAACTTAAAAAGTCAGTTAAATAAACTCGTAACTTGCATCTTATTTAAAATTATTTGTGAATAAGATTAGTTTTAGGCTTTACTTGCTATAATCTTATCAAGAGATGAGTGCCATGACTGTGATAGTACTAAATGTATGGAAGATGGAAACATTGAATTTTTGGATAGATCCAATTTATTCTGTAAGCTATAATTGATACCGTTGGATAGAGCTCGTGAAGCACTTTTAGGATCAGTAACTAGTTATGCGATATCTGGTGTAGTTTTTAATATTATGTAACTTTACCAAATGTATGGAAGCTGAAAACATTGAATTTTCGGGTAGTTCCAGTTTATTCTGTAACCTATTATTGGTACCGTTTAAAAGAGCTTATCAAGCACTTTCAGGATCAGTATTCAGTTTTTCGATATCTTGTATAGTTTAGAAATAATCGAGTGAGATCACTTATCGTTTCCACCCTGTATAGCGTAAAATATTGCAAATACTGCTTCGTTTTAGTTAGAAAACTTGGGTGTTTCAGAAGATGAAAATATAAATTATAGTTATAAATAATATTCTAATGATTTCAAAATGTATCTGAAATTAATGTTCCATATCAAATTCAACTGCCATTCTTGAATATGAATAAAAAGCTTTGCTTTTGTGAAACGATATTTACGTTGTCTGTTAACATTTACAATTAATATACCAACATAAGCTCAAATATTATTAGTTTAACCTAATCTTTGTCTTTTGGATAGGTAAATAACTAATCAAATATTTGTTGATCAACAGATTTTTGTTGAAACTGAAATAAATGCTTTGCGTTTTAATATTATTATACAAAATACGATTAAGGCATATTTGTCAAAGTATTGGATTTTTGGAATTATCAAACCGCTGATTTTCTCTTCCTTTACTATGTACGANAGAATCTTTTTTTAAATAAATAAATGGTATACGATTTTTAAAACCCTGGAGTTTGCAATTAAATAGATTTTAATATGACTGGAACAGTGGAAATATTCAATTCCCGATACTTTTAGTGCAGCCCTCGTATCTCTCTATATTGTTGTAATAGATATCGCAAATATATTATAAGACCCAGAGAGTTAAACCCTAAATGAAATTGTACATTGTACCAAGATTTTCAAATATAAAATATATAAAGTAAGTTACTGAATGTAAATTGTTTCATTTTCTACCTTGTTTCATACGTGGTTACGTTTTGGCGTTACTTACTTTAAATTAATATTTTCAGGTAAGTAGCTGAAAATATAGTATTCCTACATATAACTCCGTGTACCTAGTGATTAGAGAATTGAATTTTCTCGACCCTGGGTTCAAGTCCCAGAAGAAAATCTTATTGACTTGTTTGTAACTAATTTGATAACATTTGGTTATTTTTAATTACAAACTTACCACCTTATCCACCTGTATTTAAATAAATAAATAATAGAATCAATAGTACCTAAATAAAACAACAACCTTGGTGTCTGACATGTCTCTATAAATGCCTGAAAGGTACGTTTAAACGTTTGATGTTCCCTCTGAAGCACCGAATCATATTCCAGTAGATAAAGTTAAAAAAATCACCTGCAAGGAAAGAAAATCAAACCTTTTGCTGTCGTGATCCCTCCAGCGTGCATAGCCAAGCCACTAGCACTCATTAGTATGTATGAGCCAATCTCGGGTGTTGCACAAATGGATTTAAAAGATACAGCAAAGCAAAATTGAGATTGCATGCAACGTCACAATGGCAGAATCAAACAAAGAGTAACAGTTCATAAACCATTAATTGTGAATATTTTTCCAACAAGTAAATTAGCTAAAGAAAGAAAGAAGAAAGAAATGTGCAAAAGATAGGTACTGCCGTATATTTTGTAAATTTCTATAAAAAATGACAAAAAATTAAAAGAAAGGAAAATTAAAAAAAATATTTTTAGTGTAGCAGGTAAAATCTGTCAAAAAAAAATGAAAAAAAAATGAAAATGAAATATTTTATTCAGCGACATAAAACAGCATTAAAAATATTTAACAAAAGTAAAGAGAGTAGGTAATGTACGTGTCACCGAAACGGTATCCACTCAGCATCATGTCGAGGTGTTGTAAGGGACACCACGACGCTGGTCTTCCGTGGATACTCGGAGGGCAAGAGGCAAAAAGAGAGTAGAATTTATCCCTCAAGAACACCCTACCAAAATCCACAACGCCTATCGTTATTAATCGCATCACCATTTCATAATACCGGCTCGTCTGCGGCGTCTGATTGGGCCGCTGCGCTGCGACGCGCTCCGTCGAGCGCGCGCTTATTGGCCTAATCAACAATCTTGCTGATTGGCCCACAGACTACGAACGAAGAGAATGGTGAAACTTCTTGGCGAAGTAAAACGTCATGTTTTGCAGTTCCGAAATTTTCTTACATTTGAGTAGAATTGTGAGATTATTAGATTATTATTATGTCGTGCAAAAACAAAGTAACATCGAGAGAATTTTTTCTCTCTCTCTTTCTCTTCAATCATATTGCAAGATGTCCGTGTAAAATCTTAGAAAAAAATCACAACTTTTAAATCTTATACATTAATTTTTTGATTTTTTCTTAGACATAATATTATTATCATTGTACTTGTTTTTACTTAAATGCCAAATTATTATTCAAGGCAGTATATTAATTTATGTGCAAAACACATAAAAACGTAATTAAATTAAAATGAAAAGAAAGGTTATAAGGCTTTAGCACCGATATAAAAAGCAGGTGGAAATGTCGCTCACGTTTTTTTCCTTTGTGATCAGGTAAGTTTTGTTTGTTTTTTTACTAGTGTTTATTTACCACTTTTCTCTCTCTCCTTAAACTAGATATCTATCAATTTCTCAACTATTAAATCCAAATAGTCCAACTCCATTTATTGGAGGACTATTCTAAATGCAATATCCACAGGCTTAGATCTGCCCATCTTAGTCTATGGAACTCACAAATTAGAAATTCGTTGAACCAAATAATATTGCATACCAATATTGCTCCGGTGACAAATTTTGAGCGAATTAGTTCTGCATGGTGTGATTTTGTAGCTATCTTGAATGTATCTTGTAATAATATGTTATGTCTACTCGTCAATAAAAATAGACAAATAAATGAAAATAAAAAATACAATAATTAAATTAATGGACATTTAATTTTGGACAACCCAATAGTAATGAAATTAGCATGGGGATACTTAAAATAATAAAAATAATGGTATATTTTTGTGCGATTATAAAACAAAAGTTGCATGCTACATTTACATACAGCGCAGTCGCCAGGCAAGCGAAACATGGGTTCGATTCCCACTTTAGACAATTCAGTTTTTTTCAAGTTATTTTCTTTTTAGGTGACTAAATAACTAAGTATGTATTAAAAATGCAATATTTTTTGTCAGGTTCTACTAGATGATTCCAAGATTCTAGATCCATGAAACGTCAAATCAAGTTTAGCATTGAGATAGTTTTAGAACTAAATTAAATGTAAGATACCTAAGTTTGTAATCGATGCCTAGCTTTGACAGCCCTGGAGATAAGGTCTTTGTAGAGAGCACGGGTCAGTACAACAATGTGACGTGGTACAAGCCATTTGATGAAGCAACAAGAAAATTTATTTAAGAAACAAACGCTTATGATAAAAGAGCTTTCCCTTTTAAAATGAAACAAAAAGTAAATATAAATAAGCCTTACTGCAACTAAATTCTTGAAAATGCTAGCTTGTAATCCTATTTTTTTTAGGATTAATTAAATACAATCAAATAAACAAAGTACTTACAAGCTTTGCTTAGTCTGC